GGATTATTTCCATGTTTTGGCGGCTGTGAATAGTGCTGCTGTGAACATTCTCATACAAGGATTTGTTCGAGTTCCTGTTTTGAGTCTTTTGTGTGCGTACCTAGGAGTGGTAGTGCCAGGTTTTATGTTAATTCTGTGTTTAACTTTTTGAGGAACCAACACACTGTTTCCTACAGTGGCTGAGCCATTTTACATTCCCACCAGCAAGATAGCATCCAATTTCTTCCAGTTCTCACCAACGCCTATTCTTTTCCTGAGTTTACTTTAGAACATGTGAAGATGCCAATGTATCATGCATACAAGATAAATTATTGGATATGAAGGTCTAGAGTTCAGAAGGGAGATCTGAGTTTGAAACACACATTTTGGAGTTGTTCGCATAACAAGGGTACAGGAAAGGAGGTGCAATTGACAAGGAAGAGGGTACAGACTGGAAAGAGAAAAGGGCCCAAATCCTCACCCAGCCAGAGGAACCCTGAATACCTGGAGGGAAAAGAAAGAGGAACTGCTAAAAGAAGATTGAAGAGGATCTATCCAAAGGTTCCACCAAGTGAGAAACTGAGAGGTTGGAATGTGTCCCCTCTCAAATATGTTCTGCTGAAGATCTGAGGAGTGCAGCGAGGTGTCCTTTACCATCCATGCAGTCAGTACTTTCAGTTTCTCAAAAGCCCCATCTCTAGGTCGGAAAACTCCTTCGCCATAGGTTCCACAGATCAAAATGACAGGACACACATAAGGAGAAAGACCATTTCCCATCTGAATACTGCCCAGTGTCCAGTTTCAGTGCCTCTCTGTGGTAGGCAAAATAATGGCATCCCCAAATTGTCCATGTCCTAATGTCTAGAACCCATGAATATGTTATCTAACATGACAAGAGATTTTGCAAATGTGCTGAATGGATTTGAGACAGGGGATCATCCTGGATTATCTGGGTAGGCAGAATGGAAGCACAGGGTCTTTGTCACTGAAAGGAGGCAAAGACTTAGATTACAAGATGCCACATTGCTTGCTTTGAAGATGGACAAAGGGACAATGAACCAAAGAATGCAGTGACCTCTAGAAGCTGGAAAAAGTGAGGGGATAGATTCTCCCCTGGAGCCTCCAGAAGGTACCCAGCCCTGTTGACACCTTGATTTTTAAGTGTCAACTACTAAGGCTTTTCCACCTCAGGGTGGGCATCCAACCTCTTCTCTTGACCTCCTTGTGGATGTGCTTATTAAATGAGTTGGCTCCATCTCTCTTCTTCAACAGGGGTGGTTTAAGCCTTCCTGTGGTCCCAACTTTAGGAAAGACATCTTTTTTATTTTTAAATTTATTTTTATTTTTAATTTTTGTGGGCATATAGTAGGTGTATGTACTTATGGGATACATGAGATATTTTGGTAGAGGCATGCAATGTGTAATAAACACATCATGGAAAATTGGGTATCAATTCCCTCAAGCAGTTATTCTTTGTGTTACAAACAATCCCATTATATTCTTTTAGTGATTTTTAAATGTGTAATTAAATTATGATTGACTACAGTCCTCCTGTTGTTCTATCAAATACTAGGCCTTTTTCTTTTTTTCTGTTTTTTAGTCCCCATTAACCATCTCCCACATCCCCACATTCCCTGTACCTCCCACAATCCTTCCCAGCCTCTGGTAACCATCCTTCTATTCTCTGTCTCCATGAGTTTAGTTGTTCTGACTTTTAGATCCTATAAATAAGTGAGAACATGAGATGTTTGTCTCTGTGCCTGGCTTATTTCACTTAATATAATGATCTCCATTTCCATCCATGTTGTTGCAAATGACGAATCTCATTATTTTTTATGGCTGAATGGTACTCCATTGTGTATAAGTACCACATTTTCTTTATCCATTCATCTGTTGATGGACACAGGTTGTTTTGAAATCTTGACTATTGTGAACAGTGCTGAAACAAACATGAGAGTGCAGATATCTCTTCAATACACTGATTTCCTTTCTTTTGGGTATCTACCCAGCAGTGGGAGCGCTAGATCATATGGTAGCTCTATTTTCAGTTTTTTGAGGTACCTCCAAACTGTTTTCCATAGTGGGTGTACTAATTTATTATACATTCCCACCAACAGTGTACAAGGGTTCCCTTTTATCCATATCCTCTCTAGTATTTGTTATTGCCTAACCAGGGTGAGATGACATGTTACTGTAGTTTCGATTTTCATTTATCTGATGACCAAGGACGTTGTGCACCTTTTCATATGTCCGTTTGCCATTTGTATGTCTTCCTTGGAGAAATGTCTATTCAAATCTTTTGCCCATTTTTAACTGGATTATTAAATTTTTTTACTATAGAGTTGTTTGAACTCCTTATATATTCTGGTTATCAATCCCTTGTCAGATGGGTAGTTTGCAAATATTTTCTCCCATTCTGCAGGTTGTCTCTTCCTTTTATCAATTGTTTCTTTTGCTGTACAGAAGCTTTTTAACTTGATGTGACCCCATGCAACCATTTTTCCTTTGGTTGCCTGTGCTTGTGGGGTATTATTTAAGAAATTTTTGAGTAGACTGATGTCCTGGAGAGTTTCCCCAATGTTTTCTTGTAGTAGTTTCATAGTTTGAGGTTTTAGATTTGAGTCTTTAATCCATTTTGATTTGATTTTTGTGTATGGTGAGAGATGGGGTCTAGTTTCATTCTTCTGATGGATATCCAGTTTTCCCAGCACCATTTATTGGAAAGAATGTCCTTTCCCCATTGTATATTCTTGGCAACTTTGTCAATAATGAGTTCACTATAGGTGTGTGGATTTGTTTCTGGGTTCTCTATTCTGTTCCATTGGTCTATGTGTCTGTTTTTATGCCAGTACCATGCTGCTTTGGTTACTATAGCTCTGTAGCATAATTTGAAGTCAGGTAATGTGATTCCTCCAGTTTTGTTCTTTTTGCTCAGGATATCTTTGGCTGTTCTGGGTCTTTTGTGATTCCATATAAATTTTAGGATTGTTTTTTCTATTTCTGTAAAGAACATCATTGGTATTTTGATAGGGATTGCATTGAATCTGTAGATCACTTTGGGTAGTATGGACATTTTAACAATAAGGATTCTTCCAATCCATGAACTTGGAATAGCTTTCTGTTTTTTGGTGTCCTCTTTAATTTCTTTCATGAGTATTTCACAGTTCTCATTGTAGAGATCTTTCACTCCTTTGGTTAATTCCTAGGTACTTATTTTATTTGTAAGTAGGATTACTTTTTAATTTCTTTTTCAGACTGTTCACCGTTGGCATACAGAAATGCTACTGATTTTTGTATGTTGATTTTGTATCCTGCAACATTAGTGAATTATTTAATTAGTTCAAATAGTTTTTTGGTGGAGTCTTTAGGTTTTTCCAAATATAGGATCATATCATCTGCAAACAAGGATAATTTGACCTCTTCCTTTCCAGTTTGGATACCCTTTATTTCTTCTCTTGTCTGATTGCTCTAGCTAGGACTTCCAATAGTATGTTGAATAACAGTGGTGAAACTGGGCATCCTTGTCGTGTTCCAGATCTACAAGGAAAGGCTTTCAGTTTAGGAAAGACATCTTTGACCTCAACTTGGTTCTGAAAGGTCTCTCCCTGACCATTATTTTTTATGGCATTGAAGTAAGAACACTGGATTTAAAATCAGACCCTTTTGCTTATTGATCATACTTACTAGCCTGTGCCAGAAGAAGATCTTAGAGCCACCCCATGCTTCAGTTTCCTTATCTGTAAAATAAAAACAATATTTGCCTCATAGAAGCATTATACAGATAAAAGAAAAATGCATAGAAAAGCTGTAAAGGTCCTGAGCTTTAAAGTACATCCATACTCAGCAAAAAAGAAAACAGGAAAGAAAAGGAACACATCACTAATACGTGCAACATGAAACTCAAAAGCATTATGTCAAGTGCCAGGAGCCAAAAATCTGTACGTATTTCATTATTCCATTTCTATGACATTCCAGAGAAGGCAAAACTATGGAGACAGAAATCAGATCAGTGGCTGCCAGGGGCTGGTTGTGAGGTGAGAGACAAGAGAACTTTCTCGCGGTGATGGAAATGTTCTATATTTTGATCATTTGGTGGTTACGCAACTGTACATGTTTGTCAAAACTCAGAATTGTACACCTCACAGGGTGAATATTACTGTGTGTAAATTATACATCAATAAATCTTACTTTTCAAACATTGGAGAAAAGAATGTCCTATAATATACTGTGTTCCGAATACAGTCCTTTGGGATAGGAGCTAATCGACTGACTACTCAACCAATAAATACCTATTCCAAATTTTTGCTTCTGTGTCCTGTTGTTCACAATAGCACGTAATATGATTTTTTTGCTAATATAGAATGCTTCTCTGCTTGCAGCTTAAAATTTTTTTTAATTAGAAGGGCACTGAACACTTCCCTTCTAAAAAGTTCAACTGTTGCTCTGCCTCAAGGAATGGGGGAAAGCACCAAGAGAATAATGAGGCAGGACTGGGCTACTAAACAGCCTAGAAGCACAGAGAGGTGTGGGAGGTGGGGGAATTCCCGCTTTGGTCTCCAACAGGCCGGAAGCACTGCAGTCCTGTAGCAGGTCATTGTGTCGATAACAGACGTTATCTTGGTTTGCAGAGAATGTCCAACTCTGAATTGTACAACGTTAGTCACACTTCTGTAGTTAAGGATGGCCTAATATTCACTTAATTAAAACACCAGTCAGATACACGCAGAGATCGAGGCGTGCGAGTCCCCAGGAGCAGGCGGACGCGACTGCCAGCAGCCTGCGGGGCTCAGCCGAACCCCCCCGCCCCACCCTTCCGCCCGGAGGACCCACGCCCCACACCCGCCGGCCCTCCCTTCTCATTGGCCGCTGCCCCGCTGCTCCGTCGCCCGCTTCTATAAGAAGCCGGCAGCGCGGGGCGGCGGGCAGAGCCGGCTCGCAGCTAGCGGCGCCTCAGGTGAGTGAGGCGGTCCTTTCCGCGGGCGCCGGGGACCGCCGTCGAGGCTTTGGCGGCACTCGGCAGGCGCGCGGCTGGGCAGTCATCCTCCCGGGAGGCAAATTGGTGGTCTTACGGAGTCAGATTTGGGAGGTCGGAGTTGTACCTCTGTAGACGCTTACTCTTCTTTCCTCCTACGCTCTTTGGGGAGAAAAGACACTTTTTGAGGGCCTCCTGCGTGCCAGGAACAGACTCTACCCATCATCAGATTTCACCTTCACAACAAACGCAGGTAGATATTTCTTGAGTCCCCAGATGAGGAAACTGGGGTTCAGAGTCCAACCCAAGGCTGTGTGACTCCTCTATGTTGGCAGAAAGAGAAAGATTTTTCTTCCTTCCCTTCCTCTCTATCAAAGGGCAATATCTCTTTTTTTCTTCTCCTCCCATGAAGGGAAGCCTCCCTTAAACAGGCCCCCGAAGAAGAGGGAGTCTCAGATGCAAAGCTCAGCATCGCACTTACCATCGTCACCACCATCCCAACAGACGACTAAGAGCTTGTTGCAAGGTCGCAGTTGACAAAGAGGACTAGGTCCTTGCGGTTCAGAGTCAGTTAAGAGTCCAGGTAAACTCAGCCTCTCCTTTGGCGCCTGATTTTCAGAGGTTTAAAATGAACTCCTCAATGATGTCCCACTCCGCTTGACTTAGAAGAAAGAAGACTAGGGTTGAGCTTGCTAATCCAGGAAAAGTTTAAAAAAGGGGGGGGTGGGTGGGTGGAATTCTAATATCAATGTTTCTGAAAAGTTATAATCTGTGGTTTACATATGTTATCAGGGAGGTCCATCTGTGCATGTATTACTAAATTATCTCCAGGTACGGATGTATTTTCTATTTCCATTTTCTCTGCTAGTACCTTTATTTCCTAGAATACTGCTTTTCATGGGTAGTGTTTTCTTTTGTATTTCATCTCCACTTGCATCCTCATTCCCACCCCTTATTTAGAAAAGAAAATCAAGACTCTTTAGAGCTTTCCCTCCCTCTGAAAGAATCCTCCTTGCAGTTTTTAGTTCTGTCTTCAAACAATATCCATGCTTTCAAAAGACTAATTCAGTAATGCTTTGTGCATCCTAGATCAGGTAAATATAAATTACACTTGTTTTACTGATTAAACTAAGGGGAGAAAAGAGTTGGTCATTGTGTGCGCCTTGACCTCTACTTTACCAAGGGTTGAGTCTGTTGATCTTCTGAGTGTCTTCTCGGTATTTTTTCCTTATTTGCAGTGGTGGGTCCTGCACAGCAGTGCATCCTTAGTCAGGCCAGAAGACGCAGTAGGGGAGTGACTCTCTGCCTTTCATGAGAAAGGGGTACCAGTTGGTATTAGCTGATCAGAGTGTTGCTTTAAAAATAAAATGCTTATGTATTGATGAGACGCCGATTCAAACAAGTGTGACCTATTTTATCTTACCAGGTTAGTATTGTGGGTTTTTTTCCCTGAAAGAGTAGGAGGGGGCAGGTGGGTTGAAGGGGGAAAGGAAAAAGTAACAAGGCAAAATATTGAGGTTCTGAAAGGGGTATGGGGTTAATTGAATGGAGGAAAAAATAACTGATTCCTCATAAGCTCTGTCAACCAAGCAAAGTTATGGCGAAGTTTGAGTAACCATCAAAGATCTATGTCCTATAAGATTATTTTGGGGTTGGGGGGAACAAAAAAGAAGGTGAGAATTTTCTTCTAGTTTCTTAGCAAAAGTTCCTTTTCAGAACCTTCATTTTTACCGTGACTGAAACAAGGAGGAGGGTTTCCACAACTTTTTTTTTTTTTTTTTGAGACGCAGTCTTGCTCTGTCACCCAGGCTGTAGTGCAGTGGCACGATCTTGGCTCACTGCAACCTCCACCTCCCAGGTTCAAGCAATTCTCCTGCCTCAGCCACCCGAGTAGCTGGGACTACAGGTGTGTGCCACCACACCAAGCTAATTTTTGTATTGTTAGTAGAGACCGGGTTTCACCACATTGGCCAGGATGGTCTCAATCTCTTGACCTCGTGATTCGCCCACCTCAGCCTCCTAAAGTGCTGGGATTACAGGTGTGAGCCACTCACATCTTAATATAATAATGTATGTCTTTAAATAAATCAAAATAATATAAATGCCTTGCATATCATAAATTTCAATTAATGTATCCTTCACCCTCCTCTCCCCACACCCTCTAAGGAGATGTTGGCACAAAACTTGATCCATTCAAGAATCAGGTACAGAAAATAATTATGAACCCTAAAGGGATGGAGCCATGACTGTTAGTACCTTCTCACAATAGCAACTTCCAGGAGAACTTAGGGGCCAGTTTTGAAAATTGAAGGAAATCCTCATTTTTTTTTTTTTTTTTTAAGAGACGGGGTTTTACTCTGTCACCCAGGCTGGACTGCAGTGGCACGATGATGGATCACTGCAGCCTAGAACTCCTGAGCTCAAGTAAGCCTCCTGCCTCAGCCGCCCTCCCTAGCAGCCGGGACTGCAGGTGAAAGCCACTATGCCCGGCTAACTTAAACAATTGTTTTTTGTTATTGTTGTTCATACAGCATCTCACTATGTTGCCCAGACTCTTCATAGTAGTTTTTTTTGTTGTTGTTGTTTGTCTGTTTGTTTGTTTTGACATGGAGTCTCACTCTGTTGCCCAGCCAGAGTGCAGTGGCACGATCTTGGCTCCCTGCAACCTCTGCCTCCTGGGTTCAAACTATTTTAGTGCCTCAGTCTCCCAAGTTGCTGGGATTACAGGCATGTGTCATCACGCCAGGCTACTTTTTGTATTTTTAGTAGAGACAGGTTTTCACCATGTTGGCCAGGCTGGTCTTCAACTCCTGACCTCAAGTGATCCACCCGCTTTGGCTTTCCAATGTGCTGGGATTACAGGCATGAGCTACTGCGGCTGGCCTCATATAGTTTTATAAGAAGAGTTTTATTCCAAGCTCCAAGAGATTGTTGAAAGACAAATTATCAGAAGATCTAGAATTCTGCTGGTGTTACCACTGACTGGAAAAAATCAGTGGTAACTTTTCTTTACTGTTCTCTGATCCTTGCTCCCAGTTCTTAAAGCTGATGTACATGATGAAGCTAGTGGTTGGCCAGGAAATAGCTTATATTTGCAGAATCCTCTTCCTTCTGCATGTCATGGTGACGGTATCAGGAAACATGAGGACTCAGTAAATATAGGCTAACTCAGTACATTTTACTTCGGGGTCTTTATTTGTTTGCAAAAAAACTGCTGAATTATTTGCTTGAGATTTGGAATTTAATACACTTTAGGGATTTTATAATAAATTAATGAAACTGAAATCACCTTGATACAAAACAATACTGACATTTTAGATCATAAAGCAACTTTTCCACATGCTTGCTATTATAAGAAATATGTTAATCATCTTGTAAAATGCCTAATTCCTAGGGCAAGAAAAGTTTTTAGCCAGAGGTGTTTAGAATGTCTATTTCATTACTTTAACATTTTCTCTTTTTTTGAAGACTGGAAAATTTGGGACATATTCCCCATTATTTGAGATAATACTTATTGAGTACTTAGTGTAGGTTAGCAACTGTTCCAAGAGTTTTATATAAATTATAACTATTTAATTCTCATAACAATAAGTTTATATATATTTAATCTTCCTTATAATCATGAGAGTGGTGTTCATTATCCTCCCTCTAAGTTTGCAAATAAAGAGATTGATATCCATAAAGATTATAACTTGCCTAGATGGATTTGCAGAATGATTTACTACTAGCAATTTGTTATATTATTTTGCATCTCTCTTATTGTTTACATTTGCACACTATAGGACCACGTCACCCATACTCTGTGTTTAATAGGAAAAGTCAATCTTTGAGTGGTAATTGAATGGGTAACAAACATTTCTGAAGGTTTTCATATCCCTGAAAGCATTTTGAGAATGCTTACCTGAGACCATCCCTGAATTTTTAGCCCCAGAGTCACCAATTTGGTATTTTCTGTTTATACTTAAGTTTACCTTGAGAAATGGTCACTTCCTTTGAAGTGGAAAATCTCATAAGATCTTTTGCTTCTCATCCATAAATCCTTTCTCAGCAGAGACTCATGGATGGGCTAGAAGCTGTACTCAGTCATCTTTAGAAGCACATGGGATATTGATCAAAGGGGTGGGGAGGTGGGGAGGTGGGAAGGTAAGGGGTGGGGGAGTGTACTCCTTGGGTATCATGGCTGGGATCTCAGTGTCCCTTCTCTTCTGCTTCTTTGTACTTATTGAGAAGTCTGTCTTCCATTTTCTCCTTCCCCATAAACAAGTGTGTGAATTCTTTGGAGGCAAATTGTCTTGTTTTAAAATTTTTACTGCCCTAACTTTGACTGTGGTGCTTTACACATGTGAATGTGCTTGAGTTGAAATTTTATTCATTTTACCATTAGTAATTGTTTGAATCACAGAGAAATCCACATAATTATTCAGTTTAACTGACCATTTAGTTTTATAGCATTCGAAGTAGAAATTGTTTTAATTCTAGAGACTAATTTGGCATAATTTAAAAATCTTAGTAGTTTTGGAAACTTGAACCCAATGAATTCATAAATGTGGGTTAAATTTTGAATTATGTGTCTCTAACTCTTCTTGGTACCTGAAGTATCCTAGTTTCTTCCGTGAGGAAAATCTCAGAATAGCATACCACGTTATGGTGTTTTAAAACAAGTGGGAATTTTGTATGTTATGAGTTCCGGTAGCTGTTTGGTAACTTAGTTTTATATTAGAATGGTTAAGTAGCATGCCCGAGGTCATACACTGATAAACATGAGGCCAATCATTAGATATATCTGACTTCACATTCCACATATTTCCTTACACTGTTTTGCAGTGTAAATAAGTGGTTGAGAAGATACCAAAGTAGATATCTAGTTCATCTTCTGAGAAGCAGAGCTAGAATTCTCCTGGCTAGCAGTTATCCATCTAGTGCACATATGTCTAGAGCTGGCCAGGCCTTTAGTATACAAAATAAATAGAAAGCCTTTTCCCCACTCTGGAGGAGCTTGCTGCCTTGTCAGAAGGTGAGATATGTTCAAATAAAACATTTGGGGAAACCATTTGAGACCTGGTATAATGAAGTGCTAAGATTGTGGACAGGGCGGGGAGGAGGTAGGCCTTCCTGACTAGTTCAGGCTACAATAGTTGGGAAGACTACAAGAAGCCAGCAGGCTTGAGTCATGCCCTGAAAGAGGGATTGGTTTAGAAAAACACAAAAGGGAACTACTAACATGTATTGCGTGCCTATTCTGTTCTAGGCAGGTGTCAGGCGAAGTTTTATCTTATTTTGGTCTCACTAGATTCTTGCAAAGCTTATCTGCATATCTAGGTTTTATAAAAGGTTAAGAAACTGAAGCTTCCAGAAGTAAATTAGGCCTTAGTTATCAAATATTGTCTGCATTGTGCACCTTCTTTTTTAGCCCTTTTCTTTGTTTTCATACTTTAGTTTTAGAGAATTACTCCAAATTCATCATGATTGAAGACAATAAGGAGAACAAAGACCATTCCTTAGAAAGGGGAAGAGCAAGTCTCATTTTTTCCTTAAAGAATGAAGTTGGAGGACTTATAAAAGCCCTGAAAATATTTCAGGTAAGCATTTTCCATAGTTTTGCACAAAATTCTTCTAGAAATGAATCTCTAAAACTATTTTTAAAATACAGAGCAACATAGCAAGACCCCATCTCTTAAAAAAAAAAACAAAAACAAATTTAGCTGGATGAGGTGGTAGACACCGGTAGCTCCAGCTACCTGGGAGGCTGGGGTGGGAGAATTGCTTGAGTCCAGGAGTCCAGGGGTACATTGAGTGAGCTATGATCACACCACTGCACTCTAGCCTGGGTATCAGAGTGAGATTTTTTTTTCTCTCTCTCTATGTATATTTATGTATGTTATATATATAAATTCTATGTTTATATATAATATACATATAAATCTATATAAATTATTGCAAATTCTTCAGAGGTGGAGTACAAACATTTGTTAAGAACTTACAATTCTAAAATAGTGCTGAATTCTAACAAGGGATACAAAAACAATTTAGAGGAGATACAAATAGCTACTTTGGGAAATGGGGGAGAAAAAATTCACTTCATAGATTTTAGAGAAGCAAATTTTAATTTTAATAAAGTATCACAATTTTATTGATATTTAATCAGACATTTTTAATTATATACTTGAGATTTAATGATATAGTCATAGTATATTTAATGATATTATTTTCATGTAGCAAAGATTCTATAATGACACTGTCCCCTACTGTCAGAGCTTCATTGCATTGGAGGTGCATTACCCTCCAATGCACCTTTGGCACGAGGGTAAATTTGTGTACCATGTAGGGAAACTATCTGGTAATACGTATTATGAGCCTTAAAATGTTCATACTTTTGACCCATAATTCTAATTTCGTAAATCTGTCTTAAAAATATGGATCAGTCAAGCAGAACATGAATATTTATTGAGTCCTTACTATGTGTTGGGTACCACATCAGACACTAAGGATATGGAGCTGGACGAAGTAAACAGAGTGCCTGTTCTCACAGAGTATATAATCTAGTGGGGAAGGCAACACTAAACAAACAACTGCTATAAGTGAATAATTACTATGTGTAAAGTGACATGAAACAGAAGTACCAGATATTGTGACAGCGTTGAACTTGGGGGACCTAACTGAGTTTAAGAGCTCAGGGACACACAAAGATGTATTGTTTATAGGAACTAAAAATTATAAATAATCCACTTGTCCTAATATAGGGGATGTTGAATTGTGCTAGCGGAACACCACTCTGGTTAAACTCTGGTCTCCAGAGACAGACCATCTGAATTCAAATCCTTGCTCTGTCACTTATTACCTGGGTGATCGTGGGCAAATTGATTAATCTCTCCACACTTCAGGATTTATGTCCATAAAATGAGAACTCTACCTACATCATAGGGTCACTGTGAGCATTAGTACAGTTAATATATCTAAAGTGCTTAGGATGGTACAGTGTAAAGTAAGTGATCAATAGATGTTAGCTATGTTAATAATCATATGACATACTATTATATAGCTGTTTGCAAAGAATATTTCAAAGAATTAAAAATCTGAAATATAGATAGTCTAGAAGAGCTTGTAATGAAAAGCATCAGTTTTCTTACCTAACACATACCATATTCTCAGTCCCACTCCTTAGAGGCAACCTCTTTTAACTATTTCCGGCCTTTAGTTTTTTTGGTGGTGAGTTTATGAAACCTAAACATTGCTCTTATATGTCTTTTCGAGTTATCAACTTCACACTATATTCATTTACTTTTTATTATGAACAATGATACTGATACTACCTCCCTCCCTTCCCTCTCCCAGTCCTTCCAAATCTGATAATTGTATTATTACTTTTAGCTATTCTATTGATTACCTTTGAGTGTTTAAATAAAATACCTGTGTGTCTTCTTCCATCAACTTTTTAAATTTAATTTTTAATCAAAAAATAATTGTGCATAGCTTAAGAACAACTCAATCCATACTATAAAACATGTTTTTAAAAAGCAGTCTTTTGCTCCATCTCTCTTCATTCCTAAGTTCCATTTAATTTTTTTGCAACCTTATGTGCAGAAGCTTGAGTTAATCACACTCATTAAATCACATGTACACTATCATTGTTGATTTGTGCAACCTCTTCCTGTTTTATTTCATTCTTCAATTCTATCTCCATTTCTCTCTTCTGATAGAGAACTGCTCTCATATGTTTGATATATACATTGAATTACTTTTATCTGCACTTTAGAATATGTAGTTTTTGTGTGTGCATATATTTGTAATTTTTATAATCATATTGTGCTATAAAGATTCTTTTTCCCATCCAGCACTGTGTTCTTAAGACCTGTGCATGCTGTTGTGTGAACATCTCATTCATTCTTCCAACTGCTACATGGTGTTCTCCGGGTGTGTCTCCATCCATTTTACTTATCCCCCACCTTGTGGAAGCAACCATTTTCAACTCCTTAGACTATTTTTCTAATATTTACTTCCACACTTATAAATTATATGCTTATTCTGCTTCTACTTCTTGATTTCTAAAATTATAGGTAATTATCTATTGATTTTCAACAATGAAGCAAAAATTTAGGTTTCTTGACACAACTCCCCTTCCGATGGCCTCTTCAACTTCCTTTCCACGCGTCTTCCCAATGCATTTGTGTCCCGGTTTTTGGCTCTGTCAATCTTTAATGTCTTTATTATTAAGATTATGTAAATATTGTTTGAAGAAGAGCCCTAGTATCCACTTTTGTGACTCTTCCTTTCTTGTGCAACAGGATTACAGCATAGTGTTTAGTCGCATGGACGGTGGACCTGCACAGCCTAGATTTGAATTCTGGCTCTGACGCTTGTCTCCTGTGTGCTTCTGGCCAAACTGCTTAACCTCTCTATGCCTCTGTTTCTGTAATTGAAATGATGGATAGGGAATGTTTCATGTACTACTTCTACTTTATCTGAATTTTCCAGACTGTGTTTTTCTTCCAGATGAACTTTGAAATTATTTAATTACATTTCCTCACCAAATTTCATTGAGATTTAAATTTAGGAATAATTGACTTTTTTGTATCTTTTTTTTTTCCTCCAAAAACATAGTTTGGCTTTATATTTATTCAAATCATCATTTAGAAAATATTTACAAATGCATTATTAATGTAAAAATTTATAAGAAATAGATGAAATGAAACTCTTCTCTACACCTGATCAATCTCAGTATATTTTATAAATGACTTCTATTGATTCTGTGATAAATTCTATGTTCCCAGATAAACCCTGCCTATTCTAATTTCCTAACAACCTCTATCACTCACTCCTCTTTCTTGTTAGCTCATGTTCCCTGATTTTTTTTTTTTTTTTTTTAGAAAGGGTCTTACTCTGTCACCCAGGCTAGAGTGCAGTGGCACAATCACGGCTCACTGTAGCGTTAACCTCCTGGGCTTAAGTGACCCTCTCACCTCAGTATCCCAAGTAGCTGGGACTTCTGGTGTGCGCCACTACACCTGGCTAATTTATTATTTTTTTGTAGAGACGGGGTCTTGCTACATGGTCCAGGCTGCTCTTGAACTCCTGGGCTTAAGTGATTTTTCCACCTTGGCCTCCCAAAGTGTTGGAATTACAGGCATGAGCCACCATGCCTGACCTATTCTATCTATTCTTTAAGATTCATTGAAGTTTCTGCCTGCTCCATGAAACTTTCTACTCTCTCTTAAGTCGTAATGCTTTTCCCTTTGCTGAGCATCTGCATCTGAACACTCTTTACTTTATTTTCTTAATCTTCCATGTGTCAGCCAACTAGAATGTAAATACCTTTATGTCTTTCCTTTATATTCTTCGCAGCTCTCACCTAGTTGCATGGGTGTTCATTAAGTTATTTTAGGATGCACTGGTTAGTATTGGAGATTATCTGCTCTAACCTTCTCATTTTTTTAGATGAAAAAACTATTGGGTGATTGGTTCTCATGTTTCATTATCATGTCCCCAGCACTCTTCCTCAGCTACCCAAATTGGAAAAAGAACATACCCTCCTCCCACACTTCTACACACAGCACCCCCATCTTAGGCTGACTTGGAAGAGGTCAGAAGAGGAGATCTGGTTCAGCTGTTACTAAGACTGTAGCTTAAGAGATTTGAGGTATTAAATACTCTGTGCTCAAGCTGTTCATCTAATTTTATTAAATGAATTTTTGAAAGGGAAACTCTTCTTTCTCCAGGACTAACATTGGTATCGCTTTTTGAAAACTAGCTTTTATTTATGAGAATTTTCAAAAGATTCCTCTTAGCCAGGAAACTTAATAATATTTTAATTTGAATTCTGATTAATTCTGACAATCTGAAGGACCTCTAGTATGTGTTATTTTATTGGTTTCTGGAGGGTGGGATGAATTTTGAAAACTTTCTGACCGGTACATAATTTTTAAGAAGGAATTATTTTGTTGTTGGCAGCACTAAAAACAGCCTTTTCCCCTTTGGCTGTTCTGAGAAGTCTGAATCTGATTTTTGGTGGTAATGAAAGTAGCCTGCTCAAAGACTATTAACATTTGAGGCAGTTACATGAAATCTTTACCCTGTGCTTTACACAGGAGAAGCATGTGAATCTGTTACATATCGAGTCCCGAAAATCAAAAAGAAGAAACTCAGAATTTGAGATTTTTGTTGACTGTGACATCAACAGAGAACAATTGAATGATATTTTTCATCTGCTAAAGTCTCATACCAATGTTCTCTCTGTGAATCCACCAGATAATTTTACTGTGAAGGAAGATGGTAAGTTCGAAAGGTGAAAATACTACTTAGAAGATGAAACACCTAATGTGTGTTCAATCTTATATTTATCTTGAAAACATGAAAATAATAAAACACAATCTCTCCAAATTGCTTATAGTCTGGTAGTGAAGGGAACACAAAATATAGTTGCTCAAGATACCAAAGAAAAATTATAAAGCAACATTTGATCTAGTGTAAGAGAAATGAAAAGGAAAATCTTGAGTATAAGAAACAGCTGGGTGTGCTGGCTTATGCCTGTAATCCTTGCACTTTGGGAAGCCAAGGCAGACTCACTTGAGTCCAGGAGTTCAAGACCAGCCTGGGCAACATGGAGAGACCCAGTCTGTGCAGAAAAATACAAAAATTAGCCAGGTGTGGTGGCATGCACCTATGGTTCCAGCTACTCTGGAGGCTGAGGTGGGAGGATCACCTGAGCCCAGGAGGTTGAGACTGTAGAGCCGAGCTGAGATCATGCCACTGCACTCCAGTTTGGGTGACAGAGCAAGACCCTGTCTCAAAAAAAAAAAAAAAAAAAGAAAGGAAAGAAAGAAGGCAGGAAGGCAGGCAGAAAGAAAGAAAAAGAAAGAAAGAAAGAAAGAAAGAAAGAAAGAAAGAAAGAAAGAAAGAAAGACAGACGACACAATTTGGCATAATCGGGGATTGATTATCTCTCATTCCAAAGCATCAACGTTTCTTGATTTGAAAAACCTCTAATTCACAATCCCTGAGCACTTAGTAAGTCTCATAAGACTTGGCATCTAGCGGATAGTAAATGAATATTTAAATTTGTTGCAAATGTTGACAGTTGCTGATAACTATGAAGTGACACACAGTATGTATAGCAGGGGACTCGTCCACGGCCTGTTAGGAACCAGACTGCACAGCTGCAGTGGGCAGCAGGTCCGGCGAGCCTTACCACCTGAGCTCTGTCTAGGAGCGTGAACCCTATTGTGAACTGCGTGTGCGAGGGATCTAGGTTGTGTGTTTCTTATGAGAATCCAATGCCTGATGAAACCATCTCCCGCCTCCCCATTCTTGGAAAAGTTGTCTTCCACAAAACCACCTCCTGGTGCCAAAAAGGTCAGGAACAACTGATGTACAGCATTCCTTCCAAAAGCAAATGAGAAAGCAATAAAGCCTTCTAAAGTTTCAGATACTCAGGTAGCAAAGATAAAGGTTAAGATCTCTACTGGTGAAAAAATCCTTGAAGTTCACTCGAGGCAAAAGACAAATGGATAATATAGGTACATTTTATATATGGTACTCAATCTAAAATAATATCTTCAGATTCTGTCCACAATATTTAAGGTGTAATCAGGACTGCTATTCATCTGCTATGCGTTCGTACAGCTATATAATTATTAAAATACTGATATATCTCCACTTCTGGCTGGCAGAGAGCTACTTCCCCAAGTCCCTTGAGGGCTCTTCACCATGCCTGAAGCCTCTGTTGCTCCAGATACCGGCCCCCCACCAGGAAGTCCCACACCCATCATTAACAACTAAAGGGTTAACACCTTGCAGAGCAGAAGCCCAGGACTCTGCTGATGTCTATTTTGAGCGATTACTGCTCCTATTGTATTTGTTGTTAAATCCCTTGAATATCACTCTTGGATATGTTAGAAAGAGCAATACACTGGGGCAAGAAGAGCTGAGTTCTGGTCCTCTGTCTTCCAAGAGGAGTGCATTACCTAGGGTAAATTACCTCTCTGGAATTTGATTACCTCATCTGTAAAATGCAGAGGTGTATAGATGACTAAATAGTTCAGTTGATACATCAGCCTTGTGACAGATATTTCTGCTAAGAAATGGGGATACAAAAGATATAGTCTCCACCCTACAGTTGTTTCCAGTCTTTCATATAAGACAGACATATAAACAGGTACATTATAATAAAACATAGTAAAAGCCTTTAGAGAGAGACATAAAGTCACAGGAACCCAGGGAGCAGATAATTAGCTCTGTCTACAGGGTCAGGGAAGGCTTTGCGGAATGAGAAGATCTCATTAGATTTGGGTCTTGAAGGATGTGAAGGATATTCTCAGGAAAACAGAAGGGTAGGGTGGGGCAGGCAATGGGAGTAGAGTAGCTATTCCAGACAGAAGAGTAGCATTTATAAAACCCCATGGTCTTATGAGGGCTCTTGTGTCTGAGGAATGGCGAGAAGATCAAGGTGGCAAAGACAAATGATTTCTAAAATCTTTTCCAATGGCAAAAATAAATGAAGTTTTTATTAAGTTTGTACCTTGGTCTGTAAATAAAGTTGTGCATCCTTTTTCTGCTTTTGTAGAATAACTAAATATGTAGCTTAAGCATTTTTAAAACTTTTAGTCTGTTTCTAAAGTACAATATTTCTGCAAAACTTAAAACACCAACCTGAAGACTCAAAAAAATATTAAAGTTCAGAAATTCTGAATAAATTTTACTTTTTAGAAATGGGGCAATTTACTTAACTCGTACAGATCTTGCCTTGATGTACAACCTTAAATTAAAACTCTCATCCAACTGAATTTAATTTTCTCTTCTTTATTGTCTTAAGATTGTCTCTTCAACTTTTAGTGGTTTTTTTTTTTTTTTTTTTAAATTTTCAGGTATGGAAACTGTTCCTTGGTTTCCAAAGAAGATTTCTGACCTGGACCATTGTGCCAACAGAGTTCTGATGTATGGATCTGAACTAGATGCAGACCATCCTGTAAGTATTTTCTTTTTTTTTTTTTAAGACCAGGTCTTACTCTGTTGCCCAGGCTGGAGTGCAGTGGCACGATCTAGGCTTTTTTTGTTTTAAGACCAAGTCTTGCTCTGTTGCCCAGGCTGGAGTGCAGTGGCACGATCTAGGCTTACTGCAACCTCTGCCTCTTGGGTTCGAGTGATTCTCCTGCCTCAGCCTCCCAAGTACTGGGATTACAGGTGCCCACCACCACACCCAGCTAATTTTTGTATTTTTAGTAGAGATGGGGTTTCACCATGTTGGCCAGGCTGGTCTCAAACTCCCGACCTCAGGTGTTCCACCCGCCTCGGTCTCCCAAAGTGCTGGGATAACAGGCATAAGCTAGCACCCTGTAAGTATTTTTAATAAATACATCTATAAAAACAATTTAAAGCAAACTGAAAATTAAGGGCAATGTTTTTAGAGAAAGTGTTTTTTCTAGACTAAATGAGATATTGTTTTAATCAAGATTTCAACAAGTGTTAGTAGACCTCTATATTGGTGGAATTGAGACTAACTGCCTGAAAAACATAGAGTTTCATTTGTTCCAAAATATCTGTCCCATTCCCAGCATTCCTATTATTAAGAGCTATTCAAAAGGTTATACTAAAATGAAGATAGCGTCTGCAGTTTTTATTTAAATGGGCATGGGTTATTGGACAGGGAGATAAGTAAAAGCAGGCCAGAGAAAGACTTGCCACCCACACTGCCCAGCATGATTGGTTTATTAGGCAGTTGATGAACTAGGAAGTTGTTTCCTGAGAAAACTGTACAGTACAGGCAAGAGTTGGAGAATTCGTAAATCTAGAGCATTTCTGGGAGGGGAGGAGAGAAGAGAGTGCGATTGTGAAGTTGAACAGACCAGAGCTTTAATGTAGCTTCTCTCACGTGTTAGCTGTGTAAATGTGACCTTTGTATACTACCTTAGATAGCCACCAGATGATGTATCCAATTATTCTATAATCTTATTGAGTGACTATTGCAATTAATTGCAGTACTTGCCAGAAGGGAGCATGTAGTCTAGTTGAAAAGCTAAAGCACACATATATAAACAAACACACACAAGATAAAATATAAAAAGCATGCTAGGTGAAAATTTTGCTCCATGAAAATATTGCCTCAAAATGTATATAAGAGAGCAAACACTTCTAGCTGAAGAGATCAGAGAAAGGCAACATTTCAACTGGGCCTTAAAAGATTTCAGCAGATAAGAGATGGAAAGGAAGAACAATTCAGGAGGGAACAGTATGCGCAAAGGTTCAGAAGCAAGAAAATCTGGGGCATGTTTATGGAAAGGTGAGTACATCAGTTTTACTGATCTACCAAGTCCTGCTGATTTTCACCTCCTAGGTATTTCTTAAATGTGTTCTTTATTCATCCCTACTGCCACATCCCTTAACTGGTCTTCCTTCCTCTAGCCTTGTCATCTTCAAACACCTCCTCCTTATCCTCATTAGAATGATCTAAAACCTCAATATGACTATTATTCATCTTCTCTCTTAAAAATCACCAATGGCTCCCAGGTACATACTTAAAAGAATTGAAAATATATGTCCGTACAAAAACATATACACAAATGATTGTAGCAGCATTATTCATAATAGCAAAAAAAGTGGAAACAACCCAAATGTCCATTAACTGATAAATAGATGAAGTATGGTATATTTATATAAGCAAATATCATTGGCCGTTAAAAGAGATGGAACACTGGTATGTGCTGCAACATAGATGAACCTTGAAAACATTATGGTAAATGAAAGAAGTTAGTCACAAAAGGTCCCATATTGTATGATTCCATTTATATGAAATGTCCAGAACAGAAAAATACATAGAAACAGACAGTGGATTACCGGTTGCCAGGAGCTGGGGAGGGTTGGGGTGGAGTTGGAGAGTGATTGCTAATGAGCATGGTTTTTTTTGGGGGGGACAAAATCTTTCTGAAATTAGATGGTGGAGATGGTTGTTTAACTCTGTGGATATCTAAAAACCACTGAATGGTTATTTTATGGTATGTGAATTATACCTCAATAAAGTTGTTATTAAAAAAACACCAGTGGGTTCCCATTACCCAAGGCTAAACTCTAAGCTCCTTAATGGACCTTTAATTTGCAGACCCCAACTAGTTTCAACATGCTCCGCCTTACTCTCCCAAGTTTGAGCAACATGGGGTTGCTTGTATTTTCTTAGCCACAACATGCTGGGTTTGTTTGTTTGTTTGTTTGTTTTAATCACTGTGCTATTTCCACTCCTCTTTTGTGTCTTAGCTCGAGAGTAATCACTGGGAATCCTTCCCTGAACCACACAATCGTTTTAAGTGTGCGTGCCATTCTGTACATATCTGTGCAATATGATGAGACACTTACTGTATCATTTTACAATAACAGGTTCATGTAAACTCCTTTAAGCCCCAGGCTGCTTTATTCATATTTGTTTTTCCAGATTTTAGCACAAATCATAGTAAATCTGTGCCCCTCATAGATCTGTGTTAAAGAGATGAGTCTCATTCTCTCTTTTCAGGTGTCCGCTTCTTTCCCATTGTTTGCATTGTTGGCTATTTTCTCCTGGGCTTTGATTTTTGATTTCTTATTTTGTCTTTTTTTTTTTTTTTTTTTTTTAAAGATAGAGCCTCCCTCTGTTGCCCAGGCTGGGGTGCAATGGCACCACCATATCTCGCTGCAGCCTAGAATTCCTGGGCTGAAGCCATCCTCCTGCCTCAGCTTCCCGAGGAGCTGGGACAACAGGCATGCACCACCACACCTGGCTAGTTACAATTGTTATTTAATTTTTTTTTGTACAGACAGGGTCTTGCTTGGTTGCCTGGGCTGGTCTCAAACTCCTGGGCTCAAGTGATTCTCCCTCGTAGGTCTCCTAAAGTGTTGAGATTACAGGTATGAGCCACCACACTCAGCCATTTTGTCTAAAAAAAATTTTTTTTCATGAGTATAAATTCTAATGTTACTATTTTGTCTGCTGTTTAAATCATCATTGTTTCTGCAAATGGCAAATATATTCTCATTTTGTGATAAAATCTAAGACTAGATTCAGTTAAGTCACTATTTCAAATATTAATTACTTTTTATTATTAATTACTGTTATGGGTAAATGTAACTGAAGATATAGTCAAATGATTAAGGAAAAAAACCCTCACCCTTGGATAAGAGCCATATATTTAACTGGGATGGTGGTTTCCTTATTCTTTAAACTGTTTTATCTTTGTGGCCACTATACTATCTTTGTATCCATTATGTCTTTTATCTTTGTAGCTACTGGAGTATAAAGCTGTCATGTAACATTGACTTTAAAATAAAAATGATCATAAATCTCTAAATAATGCTTGCTCATAGTAGCAATTATGTAGCCCTTTAATGTAATAGCTCTAGTAATAATGAAATGTTTCCCGAATATCATTTGTCAAGTTTTTTTAGTGTGGATATTTAAAAATATGTCTTTAATTATCAGGGCTTCAAAGACAATGTCTACCGTAAACGTCGAAAGTATTTTGCGGACTTGGCTATGAACTATAAACAGTAAGTATATTTTTAAAAATGTAGCCAACTTTGAGATAATAAAATAAGTGAATAGAATAAATTGTGTTCATTTGGTAAGTAGAAAGTGAAGTAAGTGCCATTATTTATTAAATGCTAATTCAAAACAACTCCTTCCCTTTATCTCATTAGTGGAGACCCCATTCCGAAGGTTGAATTCACTGAAGAGGAGATTAAGACCTGGGGAACCGTATTCCAAGAGCTCAACAAACTCTACCCAACCCATGCTTGCAGAGAGTATCTCAAAAACTTGCCTTTGCTTTCTAAACATTGTGGATATCGGGAGGATAATATCCCACAATTGGAAGATGTTTCAAACTTTTTAAAAGGTAATAAGCTAATTAATTTTTTGTAAGGGGGTTGCTGACCTCTGTTTTGATCATGACAGCCTTTTTTGTTTTTTTGAGACAGAGTCTCTCTTTCTGTTGCCCAGGCTGGAGTACAGTGATGCCATCTTGGCTCACTGTAGCCTCTGCCTCCTGGGTTCAAGCGATTCTTCTGCCATGGCCTCCCAAAGTGCTGGGACTACAGGCACCTGCCATCACACCCGGCTAATTTTTGTATTTTCAGTAGGGATGGGGTTTCGCCATGTTGGCCAGGCTGGTCTTGAACTTCTGACCTCAAGTGATCCACCTACCTCAGCCTCCCAAAGTGCTGGAATAACGGGTGTGAGCCACCGCGCCCGACAATGACAGCATTTTTAATAAAGGAATAAAGCGTAGTGATATGGGAGGTCAGAATTTTCCTGTACTCTGTCCTGGTGTATTGGATCCAGGATTGGGCACCGCATTGAAGGATAATCATAACCTGCAGCAAAGGTAGAGGAAGGTGAGCAGAAGTATAAGGAGATTTGAAATTGTATCACAAAGTAAAATTTGAAGAATTCTTAGGGTGTTTAACCTAGAGATTTAGGGGCTGTTATAGCTTTATTTAAATAGTTGGAAGGATCTTTATAACAGAGGGATCACTGTGCAACTCTAAAGTAAAGGATTGTTGGATAGAAACTTCAAGCTTTTGGCCCAGAATAGAGAATATCTTGTTAAAGAGTGATTTGAAAATAGAACAGGCTTATGAGATGGTTAGTTCCTCATCCGTGGGGGTGTTCGTGCAAAAGCTTCACACCCATTTGCCAGGGATTTGGTAGAGGAGATTCAAACATCTTGGGGAAGGTTAAAGACCTTTTTCCACATTAAGATTTTATAATTTTAGCAAGAAAAAAGATGGTGCTAGTAGAGACATAAACAAAGGGTAAGGACAATTTTGTTCCTTTTAGTTCTTTATATTTGTTTGGTCCAGGCCTCTTTACTGTTTTTCTAGCTAGTATAGGAAGTAAAAGGAGCAGTGATCTATCTCCAAGGGTTTACAGTATTTAAGAAGTATAAATTTTCCCTTTTATCTCAGTAGATAATCTCAGCAGATTACCATAGTGGAGAAAACGAAGAAGTTATGCTGTGACTGAAAAGAATTTAGTTTATTTCCATAATGGTCTGAAATTGCTGTCTTTGAGTTTCTTACATAGACTTAAAAAATCTACATATCTATTTAACTCCTTAACAGTATTCAACAACTATACACAAAACTAGAAGAAATAAACAGGAAAGAGCAATACAGTTTCTACAAGGGAAGAAATTATGTAATTGGTTTCCATAAAAACTAAACTTTTGAAAAATAGTGATTAAGGATGATAGAGAACCAATGCACATAACATTGATAGACTTATAAAGATGGACAAATATACACTACAGAAATTGTAACATCAAATTTGCATGAGATTTGGAGGAAATGTTTTGTTATGCACACAAAACTGAAAGCTGTTCTCTTAGGGTCTGGAGCCTGGGCTGGCTGCAGAATGTGTTGCTGAAAATGCTTCAATGTCAAATATCAAAGAGAAATCAAAACTAACAGAAAGTTCAAGCAAAAGTTGGAAGGGAATACCTGCACTATCAAATATGGCAGACACTAGACACATTTGGTTTTTTGAAATTTAAATAACTAAAATAAATGTAAATCAAGAGGTTGGTTCCTCAGTCACACTAACCACATTTCAAATGCTCAGTGGCTACATGCGGCTAGTAGTTGCCTTACTGGACAACACAGATATGGAGCATTTCTATCACTACGGAAATTTTTACTGGACAGTGCAGTCTGCCCATCAGAATGGGAGCATCCAAACACAACACAGCTGGATGGAACTGGAATACCAGAGTTGTGAGGGTTTGAAATGAAGGCCAAGATTAGGGCTTACAGGGGTCTTCCGAGCCACTGAATCCTAGTGGCAGGCCTCTTTTGCAGTATGCATGCAGTCTTGGCTGTTGGGAAATGGAAGAGCACTATCCCGTTTAGATAAAAGAAAGGGACTATTTTACAAGAGATGGTACTGGCTAAAAATGGCGCAGCTTCAAAAATGGCTCTGATTTAAATGAATATATCTTGTTAGTGAGTTTTAACAAAAAGAAGATTATCTAGGAGATAGTATAAACCCTTTAGGGAGACAGCAAGGTGTTGTATGGCATGAAGAGATCTGAGTTGTCATTCTACCTTTATCAACTAATGTGTGGACTTGGGCACATTATTGAGTCTCTGAGCCTCCATTTCATAGTTGTCACAATAAGAAGAAACATCCTTAACTCATGTTGTAAACGTGAAAGGAGATGTGATATGTAAAAGGTCTAACTCATTGCCTGGCCTGGCCGTAGCAAGTGCTTAATAATAATTAGCTGCCCTTAATATGCATATGATAAATTTTAGTTTCCATGCCCTCCATCAACGTGTTACTTGGTGCCACTAGCAGAACTAAAATGCTGCAGTCAGGGGTCTATTCTGGTAAAGATTTTCTTTGTTTTCTCCTTTGCTTTGCAGAGCGTACAGGTTTTTCCATCCGTCCTGTGGCTGGTTACTTATCACCAAGAGATTTCTTATCAGGTTTAGCCTTTCGAGTTTTTCACTGCACTCAATATGTGAGACACAGTTCAGATCCCTTCTATACCCCAGAGCCGTAAGTACTTCTATTTCAGCCATGAATTCATCAAATGGTTATTTATAATAATGGCATCTGCCTTATGGGTTTTTTTTTTCTTTGGTGTGTGAGGATTAAATAAATTAGCACATGTGAAGCATTTAGAATGGCGCCTGGCATGAAATACATGTTCCATGCTCTATTACGTGATAGCCATTATGATTATTAATTGACAACCTATTAGGTGCTAGCTGCTATTCTGAGCATAGGGAATGTAACACTGAAAAAAAATCAGACAAAAATTTCTGCCTGCATAGAGCTTGTATTCCAGTGGGGGATATAGATAATAAACAAACAAGTAAATGTATGCAAATGTTGCATCGGGTGGTGATGAGTCCCGTGGAGAAAAATAAAGCTGAGAAAGGGGGATGGAGGAGGGTGTAGGTGGGTGGGAGTGTGTGTGTGTGTGTGTGTGTGTGGCTGTTTTGAAAAGGGTGATCAGGGAAGGCCTTGCTGAGAAGGTGATATTTTACCAGAGATCTGATTTGGGTGTGTATGTGGCAGGGTTGGGAGGTGGGGGTGGCATGTGGATGTCCATAGATACCTGATATGCACTTATATGTGTGTCTGTGAGTGGCCAAGGTTTTGAACCAAAATTGTTTCTTTATTTGATTAGTGTCCTTTGTGATCCATTACCAAAGTAATATCACCCAATCATTAGAATAAAATATTGGATTGCGATTTGATTGAATGGTTGATTATGCACTTATGTTAAGCACTGCAGCGTGACAAACTTGTACCTCTATTTCAGAGATACCTGCCATGAACTCTTAGGTCATGTCCCGCTTTTGGCTGAACCTAGTTTTGCCCAATTCTCCCAAGAAATTGGCTTGGCTTCTCTTGGCGCTTCAGAGGAGGCTGTTCAGAAACTGGCAACGGTATAAATCTGGAATTAACTGTATAGATCAGTCATTTTCACCTGGGGTAAGGTGTATGAGTATCTGTGTAGTTTAAAAGTACATATTCAGAATGACCATTAGAAAATTTGTCTTTGCTTGGAGGTTGCAGTGAGCCGAGATTGCGCCACTGCACTCAAGCCAGGGGGACAGAGTGAGACTCTGTCTCAAAAAAAAAAAAAAAAAAAAAGAAGAAGAGGAAAAGAGAGGAAAGGATAAAGAAAAGAAGAGAAAAGAAAAGAAAAGAAAATTTGTTTTCATTCATAATCTTTAATTCAAATAACATTAAAGAAAGATGTAAAATTTTAAGGTTTATCAAAAAGAGACATGAGCTTTAAAAAAGGTAGAGAAAAACAAGATTACAATAATATGTTATCTATCTTTTATTTTCCAATAAAAAAGATAGGTTTCCTTAAAATTATGCTAAAACGTTTTTGAGTACTAGGTACAAGGCACTGCTGGAAATACAAAGGTGAGTGAGGCCTGGTTTCTACCTTTAAGGAGCTTATATACTGTTTGAGGAGACAGTTATGTCAAATGAGATAGCCTGTAGCAAAGTTCAGCTTGCTCTGGGAGCATAGAGAACCTGGGGAAGTTTTCCTGGGAGAAGGACATCTGGATTAGCTGATGGAAAATGAGTGATGTGCTGAGCAAGGAAGGAAATGCATCTCAGGATAAGAGATGCACAAGGAAAGACAAGGAGGTGCTTGATGTGTCTGGGGAAACAGCGAGAAGCTGGAGCAGAGTGTCCAAGCATGGGGGAGGCAGTGTGAAATAGGACAGTGCTTCTAAAACTGTGGTTTGGGGACCCTTGGGGTCCCTGAGACTCTTTTATGGGGTCCTTGAGGTCAAAATCGTGCCTAGATAAAAGATCCATTCAAAGCACACAGTGAATTTTAATATAACAGGCAGTTCATTGACATAATTCAGATCCCGCATTGCAGTTGAACTTTAAAAATCTCTACCCACTTGTTGAGTCTTCATGCAGAGTAAAAGAAGAATATCCACAACTATCCAAAAAGACTATTAAAATATTCAACCCTTTCTAACTAGATAATTACATGAAGCTGATATAACTCATGTACTCAAACAGTATATCCCAAAAGGTTAAATACAGAAGCAGATACGAGACTCCATCTGTACTCTGGCCAGACATTAAAAAGATTTATAACATTGTAAAACAATGCTACTTTTCTTACTTTTTTGTTTTGTATAATATAGTTATTTTTATTAAAACATTATTTATGTTACCATAAAATGAGTTTATTAAATTTTAAAATTAATTAGCAAGCATTCTTCCCTCAGTTTTAATTTTTAATATGGCTAATACAGATAGTGATCATCTATACATACATGCACAAAAAAAGCTTTGGGGTCCTCTAATTTTTAATAGTATGTAAAAGTCATCAGAACAGAAGCTTGAGAAGTACTGGTTTAGGATGAGGCCAGATTGTAGAAAGACTTGTGAACTAGACTGGGATTTTGGACTTTATCCTAGGGTATTTGGGTCAGTGACTAAGAATTGTAATTTGTTTTAAATTGAATTCTTCAGTGTGTGAGAATAATATTGATTTTTTTTGCAGTGCTACTTTTTCACTGTGGAGTTTGGTCTGTGTAAACAAGATGGACAGCTAAGAGTCTTTGGTGCTGGCTTACTTTCTTCTATCAGTGAACTCAAAGTAAGAGTTGCAAATCTTTTTATATAACCATATTCACCTAATACAATTGATAAAACCTGAAATAGTTTTTGGTTTTGAACAAGAGCTTACTATGGAAAATACCTGGGGGTGTCACTAATCATTACCTGAATGTATTTTTCTCTATTTCCCAATTATATATTATATAATATAATCCAAATGTGTGTATGTATATATATATATACACACACACATATATAAAAATCAGAATTTTATAAGGGCATCTATGGGGAACAGCAAGCTACTTTTTTTGCTGGAGTATACTGTGGGTTGAATAGCGCTGTGGAAAATAAGTTTGGAATTGCAGGTTGGGCCATTGCATTAGTAATACACACACACATGAAATATTTTGATGTATTTCTGATATATATGAAATGGTATGTATATAATATATTTTAAATAAGAAGTGTTTTAAAGTCTTTGCTTACAAAGTCTTGCTGTTTCCTCACCATTTCTGATATACTAGCAATAACTTCTATAATTTCTAGGGAATTCTTTGAGATTTATTATTCATTAAATGAATAAATCAACTCATGTTTGTTGAGTAATGAATGTGTGTGAAACACCATCCAAGGTACTATCTTGCTTTCAGGGAGCACTTGATGGTGGGTATATGAGTCATACACAGGAATAACTAGTGCTGGGTAGAAAGTAGGTGACATAATACAGGAATAAGTAAGTAAAGATCCTTGGGTGACTTTTACACAAAGAAGAGAGGAAGAACAAAGCCATGGAGAGGATCCTGGGGGCATTTACAGGGAAGAGCAAGCCATTTCTTTTGCTGGAGTGTACTGTGGGTTGAATAGAGCTATAGAAAACAAGTTTGGAATTGTAGATTGGGGCCATTGCATTAGTAATATGTTTAGAGGTGTGCCAGTATGAAAATAGATATTATTCTTTGATTCACTGACTCTTTGTCTTCTAGCATGCACTTTCTGGACATGCCAAAGTAAAGCCCTTTGATCCCAAGATTACCTGCAAACAGGAATGTCTAATCACAACTTTTCAGGATGTCTACTTTGTATCTGAAAGCTTTGAAGATGCAAAGGAGAAGATGAGGTACAGTATATCTTCTTCATGCCTTCATTTTCTTCAGCAAGAGATCAGCCCCATGATGGTACCAAGTCACAGAAGTAAGCAGCTAGATAATTTGAAGTCCACAAGGAGCCTTCTGTCTGTAACACATCTTCCTTTCATAACAAGTATCTAGAGTATGTTGCGTAGAAGGATTTTGCATAGTTGCAGATATGTATCAGACACATTGAGAAATTGTTTTCTTTCCAGTTCTTCAAATCACAAAGTTTAGTAGTTGAATAGGGAAAATAAATGATATGCAAATTACTATATAACAGCATGGAAAGTGACAAGAGCCTTGGAGAGATACCGATGAAACATTGTTCTGAATTTTATGCAAGAGCAATTCATTTCAGGTGGACGAACAGGGTACTCTTGATGTTATTTGAGAAAGGACTTGAAGGATAGATAATATTTAGATATATTAAGTTTTAGGCTGAGAGATAGCAAGAAAAAAGGTCAGGATGTTGAGAAATATAGGAGATACGTACAACGTAATCAAAGCTACACTTTATTAATCAGCTAAGTGTGTGGTTAAGAAAGGAGGATATTGGAGGCAGAGAAACTTTTTAGAAGATTCTTGGAACACTTCAGGTGAAAACAAATGCCTGAACTAAGACAGAAGTAGTAGGAAAGGAAAAGACTTTCGAAGCAGAATCAATGAGACAACATTGAGTGGAAGCGGTCATGAGGTCACATTGTGATGATGGGGATCGATAGGGGTTGAAATCATAGTTCTCGTCTTTCAGAGAAACCATTAGTTGGGGAGTTAGGCCATTTGCGAAACCAAATAATAATACTAGCAGGGATTCCTCTAGCATAAATGGCAACTTTATGCAAATTAGAAAAGGGAATCCCCTCTGTGTAGACCAGGTGGATTACCAGTTGGATTTCAGCTGCTACTCATGTATAGTTGTCCTCAGCTGCATATTTATCCCTAGGAGTCCTGGGCATGATTGTTCTTGGAGGTGCCAAATGGGAGGTTCAAACAGTGGTTTGATAAAGGAGGCAGAACTTTAATGCTTGAAAAAAGGGCAGAATTTAGGTCATTTGAAAGGAGCCTAGAGGGAAACATTCTAAGCAGAAAAAATCTACATGTGCAGGAGGTAGGACCATTCCTAGTCTATTTTGGGGTACGTGAGTATGTGTGTGTCTGTATGTGTTATATGTTATATAAACACACAGGTTACATGTGTGGGTAGGTATAGTTATGTAAGGCATGGCTGAGGGATCTGTTACTATGTCGTCAAGTGTTGTAATGGAACAGTTTTATGTCTACTGATAAAACTACAATAATTGGTTTCCTTACTCTAGTCAAGAGATGTATCAGTAATAAATGATTAATAAATCCATGTATGGGATCTTTCCCTAGTAATACCAGGGATTTATGACTACTTTAGAAAATAGTTATAAACTAGTTATAACTACTTTAGGTTTCCCACTTGTGTGGGATTCCAGGGGGCCTCTGCAAATGCAGTGTAGAGAAGTAGGTCAGATTGGTTGCATGCATATCTAACAAAAATTTGTCTTTTGCCTAGTATGTGAAATAGATCCTGTTGTTTGGTTTTCATCATTCACTCCCTAGAAATTGATTGTCTCGTATTTGTTTTCTTAAATAGAGAATTTACCAAAACAATTAAGCGTCCATTTGGAGTGAAGTATAATCCATATACACGGAGTATTCAGATCCTGAAAGACACCAAGAGCATAACCAGTGCCATGAATGAGCTGCAGCATGATCTCGATGTTGTCAGTGATGCCCTTGCTAAAGTCAGCAGGAAGCCAAGTATCTAACAGTAGCCAGTCATCCGGGAACATTTGAGCATCAACTCGGAGGCCTCTGGGTCATCTCTTGCTTTTCTTGAAAACCTGATCCTGGAGGGGCAGCATCTTCTGGCCAAACAATATTATCGAACCCCACTCCTTAATGAATTGCTAGTCTTTGAAAATTTGTACCTGGATATTCTATTTACCACTTTTTTTTTTGTTTAATTTGTTTTGTGTTTTTTTTTTTTTTTGGTAACAGCTCTAATGAGACAATTTATATACCAAACAAGCCATACATGCTATTGACCACCCATTTTTAATAGAGAAGTTGTTTGACCGAATAAATAGATCTAATCTCAGCCTAACTCTATTTTCCCCAATCATCCTTGAGTAAAATGACCCTTTATGATCGCTTAGAATACCTTGAGGAGTATTATGGCGCTGACTCATATTGTTACCTGAGATTCCCTTATTTCTAAAGTATCTGTTACTTATTGCTGAATTTGTGCCAAGCTCAATCACATTCACACTAAAATTTAACAGGAGACCCAGCTGTCTTTGTTGCCAGCATGAGCAAAAGTATAGAGGCCTTTGCACATGGAGGATACCTAGTAAAGAGCAAGTAGTCTAGTTTCAAGTGTAGTATCTTGTAGGGAAATGGGAGTAACTAAGCCTGGAAAGGTTGAATGGGGCATAATCATTAAGACTAGGCTAAGAATTTGAGACTTTATTTTTTAGGCATTAGGGAGCTCCTTCCCAAGTGACTATCTTCTTTGACACTTTGTTTTCTTTCAATGACATCACATGATACTGGTTTTATTCTAGACTATCTATCCTACTCATGGGTCCAAGGGAAACTTAGTGGAGATGCAACTTGCATGAGGCTGTACTCAGACATTGGTCCTAGGTATTATGATGGGATTGTCCCCAGATTAACAGGAAGCATTGTTATCAGAGGGAAGGTTCAAACTGAGATAGGTAAGAGAAGCACAAAGCAAAAGATAGAAAAACAGTGCTGAGTACTTTATTTCTAAGGTATAAGGTGAGGCCATAAACAGAAAGGCATGCAATGAGAGTAGAGGCTGCAGAAAAGGGGAGGAAATAGAATGTCAGAAGGTCAAGAAGAGCGGTTTAGGACTGAGACTGTAAGTAATGCAATGATTGAAAGGAATGGTTTTCATGCAGAGTCAGCTGTGTAGCACAGGGAGTAAGCAGTCCTGTTATAAATGGGTGAAGCTGAACTCCAAAATACAAGCCTATGTCTCTTTAATTGGCCCCTTTCCTCCCTCTAGTCACTAAATGAAGATGTTCTTCAAGTTTCTGTCTTTGCACTTCTACTCCTTTTGCCATCTCTTCATGGGGAATGTCACCCAGATACATGACTTCAGTTCTTATTTTGAATGACTCCTCTATTTGCAGTTATAACCCTGACATCTTTCTTGAATTTTTTTGCCCCTTAATTCCAACTAACTCCTGGATGTCTATGTAGATGTCTCATAATTTAGGCCAATGCTGTACAACTTCATGTGGCACCATCCACATAGAATGAATAGAGGTTGTTCAATATGGCAGCCCTGTCAAGCATCTCAAATTCAACAGGTCTATAAAGGAACTCAGAATCACTTGAATATCACAGTCCATCAGCTTCCTCTCCCAGTAATTTAATTTGCATTAATGGTATATTAAACATCATATTTTCAATCATTTTCATGTTTAGTCAGCTACTTAAAAATAGGTTTTTTTCACATAAATAAATCATATACCATTTAACATGTTTTATTTCAACAGACTACTAGATCTTTTAGTACTTCTTTGTCCTCAAAATAAATTATAAAAAAACTTTGTATTTCATGTCATATTATATAAGAAATATAATTTTGAAGAATAATTCATGCTGTTTTAAATTTTTACATTGTTTGTACATTTTAATAGCTAATCAACTCTTAAGTGTATATTTGATGGTAAATAGATGCTAGCTAATCTGGAATCATTTGAAATATTGATCATCTGATTTATAGTTTTGTTCCAAGGAAATCTATTGTAAGCAAATCATAATAGATAGCAAATCTTAGAACATGTAGAAAAAAAGAAATTAAAAAATAGCAAATAACACAAATTATGCATACTATATGTGGTTATTTTCATACAACTTTGATAATGGTGAAGAATCATACTTACTGAATTTTGAAATGAAGATGTTTATTTAAAATCACTCTATGACTAAAGCACATGAGAATAAATGTTAAAGGCACAGCCTTATAATTCACAACTTTAGAAACATGGAAATTTTTTTTTTTTTTTTTTTTTTTTTTTAGATGTAGTTGCCCAGGCTGGAGAGTGCAGTGGTGCGATCTCGGCTCACTGCAAGCTCCGCCTCCCGGGTTCACGCCATTCTCCTGCCTCAGTCTCCTGAGTAGCTGGAACTACAGGCGCCTGCCATCACGTCTGGCTAATTTTTTTGTATTTTTAGTAGAGACGAGGTTTCACCGTGTTAGCCAGGATGGCCTCGATCTCCTGACCTCGTGATCTGCCTGCCTCGGCCTCCCAAAGTGGTGGGATTACAAGTGTGAGCCACTGCACCCAGCCAAACAATGGAAATTTTTAATGATGGATTTCAGTTCTTCTCACCTCTGGGTATTTGTAATATTTGGTAAATCAGGAGTCCTGAGAGTCTTAGAATTTTCATGCATTTTAAATATATGTCTTCAAAGCACCTAGGAATATGTAAATAGTTACCCAAATGTGAGAACAGAATTGAACTAAAAGCTTCATATATATATATATATATTTTTGTTTTTGTTTTTGTTTTTGAGACAGAGTCTCACTCTACTGCCCAGGCTGGAGTGCAGTTGCATGACTTCAGCTCGCTGCAACCTGGGATTGCAGGCCTGCTTCACCATGCCCAGCTAATTTTTGTTTTTTTAATAGAGATGGGGTTTCTCCATGTTGGCCAGGCTGGTCTTGAACTTCTGACCTCAGAAGATCCACCCACCTTATCCTCCCAAAGTGCTGGGATCGCAAGCATGAGCCACCATGCTCAGCCGGTTAATAATTCTTAATCAGTGAATCATTGTTCAAAGACATAGTTAATATTCTCATGACTTTTTAAGGACGCTCAAAAGCTGACCTTCAGAATGCCTACATTTCTTTACCTACATATTTTGCCATTTGGAGTTATACAAGTAGTAATGACACACCAAAATGTACATAATTTTGTTAGTTTTTAAGTTGGCTTCCAAATTCAAAAAAGAAAAAAATCCTGAATTCTCTAAAGGAATATATGATAGAGTCCATATATTAATTCATAGGAAGTGTTTAAGGTACTATGGTCTATTTTGGTCTAATCTTTGTTTTACTATATAATATACATTTATGATTTACAAGTTTGTTATTCAGTGCGATAATAAATGAACACAAAATTTATGTTCTCAACCAATATTTACTTTTTCCCAAACATACGTTAAAAATTGATTTAAACTTATATTAGCAATTTTATTAGTTTAGGAAATCCATTATATCTTATACTTCTTAAAAAGCCTATGGATATGAGATAGAAGCCAAACACCTCTGGAGCCTGGTAACCACTCTTCAGAGTTCTTGGTAAAGTCTTAGTGTTATGTTCCTGTCGACGAAAAGAGTCAAACACACTAAAGTATTTGAAGAGATTTATTCTGAGCCAAATATGAATGACCATGGCCCATGACACAGCCCTTAGGAGACCCTGAGAACATGTGCCCAAGGTGGTCAGCGTGCAGCTTGGATTTTATGCGTTTTAGGGAGACATGAGACTTCAGTCAAATATATTTATAAGGTACATTGGCTCAGTCCAGAAAGCTGGGATAATTCAAAGTGTTGGGTGGGAGGCTTCCAGATTATAGGTAGATTTAAAATTTTTCTAATTGGCAATTGATAGAAAGGAATGTCTGGGTTGCTGTATGAGTTTGCGGAGACCAGTTTTATCATGCAGGTGAAGCCACCAGATGGCAGGCTTCCAAGAGAATAGACTGTCAATTTTTCTTATCAGACTTAAGGTCTGTGTTGATATTAATGCTGGAGAGGTATAAGGAGGCATGTGTGTCACCCCCACTTCCAGTCATGGCCTGAATCAGCTTTTCAGGTTACATGTTAGAGTGCCCTGGCCTAGAAGAAAGTCCATTCAGATGGTTGGGGGGCCTTAGAATTTTATTTTTGGTGTACACTCCTCATCTGTAAAATGCACTAAGTCTCCTACACTGGATTATTGGAGAAGTTATGTTGCAAGAGGACCTTGCAAAAAAAAAAGCAAACTCCTCATTTTCCACATGTAAAGAATTATTAATACAGTCACTCTCTTAACAGATATTCCCCCTTAGCTTCTGGATGATCTTATCTTCCACAAGAGGGGATTAATTTTTGCTTCTAGTAGGCAGTATATAATGGCTTGGTAAAGTCTTAGTCCAGTTAGGGATTGAGCCAAAGAGAAGTTGAGCTTCAGTCTTTGTGAGGGCTGGTCTATTTCCAGTTCACTTTGACTTTTAGGGTGTAGCCCTTTAGGGATCTCAAGAGAAAACTATGGGTGTGTACCAGGGCTTCTCCTTGGGGGCTCTGGACTCCTACTTTTGTCCCCTCCTTCATGTCCACCATTCCCTCCTCCCATCCCTACCCTATGAGATTGCTAAAGGTACTGCTCAGCTTCTTAGTTGTTGATTTCAGTCAAGATTCTTAGCCTCCAAGACATTGCTTAGTAATTAGCAAGTGCTTCAAGGAGAAAAGTAGTGCCAAATATAATCTCTCAGCTTTCAGATCTTGGCCCTTCAAGTTCTTGCTGCTTTGATAGCTCTCCAATGACTTGAAATAGATATTAAAAATATTTTCTGTCAAATTTTCTAGTTGTTTTTTTGTGACAGAAAAGGTTTGCAGCTAGCTAATCTTCCTTTATCAAAAGTAGAAAACTGACCTTGAAGTAAATAACTTCTTTGAGCCTCAGTTTTCTCATCTATAAAACAATGATCCTGGCCAGGCAAGGTGGCTCACACCTGTAGCCCTAGCTACTTGGGAGGCTGAGGCAGGAGGATCACTTAAGCCCAGGAGGTAGAGGCTGCAGTAAGCCATTATCGTGCCACCTGCACTGGGCAACAGAGGGAGACCCTGCCTCAAAAAAACAAAACAAAATAAAATAATAATCCTAACAGCACTTATCATACTAGTATTATTGGGATGATCAAATAAAATAATCCAATGGGAAAAATTTCCTAATCTTTATGGTACAGAGATGCAATCTGTATGTTCCCAAATACTTTATATTTTCCTCTTTTGGGGAGACAAGACATCTGAAAGTAAAGCCATTAAATGGTTTAAATCTAGTCCCATTCAAGAACTGCAATTCATCCAGGCTGCTCATGGGAAGAACTAGGCAGTGGCGAGTACATAGGTGAAATAGTTGCAACATCTCAACACTTCCAATAAATTATATTAAGGGATATGACATAATAATATAACTGTAGGTTAGTTAAAATATTGATGCTTGTACATTCAAGGAGTGGAGTCAGAAAACAACTATATTCTTCCAGACCTCTCTCTATTAAAACTGGCTCTGTAGGTAGCTCTTCCTTGCCCTGCTGGATGAAATCTCAGATTGCTGCCTGAGTTTTCTGCTTGCTCACACGTAATAAAAAGCCCTTAGCTCCTAATTTCCATTTCTCTCTCTCTCTCTCTCTCTCTCTCTCTCACACACACACACACACATACTCTCTCTCTCTTTCAATATTTAAAAAGGCTAGTCCTGTGGAAAAACTTCAATAAAACAAACTTCAAGGTTGAAACTTTTTCCCTCCTCTAGAACTGAGAAAGGAGTGGGTGTTGCTTAGTTTCTTCATTTCCTTGTCCCTTGTTACTTAGTGGATGCCTGGGACTCCTCCAGGGTTGGGGAGATGTAGAGGGGAGGAGAGGTAAGGAGGAGAAAAGTTCTTTTTGGTCTGATACTGTTGTGAGTTGGCATCAGTGTTTTCTGTACTTGGTAAGTATTTCATGCTGACATTTTCTTGTGGGCGTTTTGGAAGACCTTCCTACCTTCTTATTTCTTGGGATTTCTTGATGTGGGTAAATGTATCTCTGTGGGCTGTTAAATTCATTTCCCTCACCCTTAAGGAATCTAGTGATTGACTCTCTTGTGGGTGTCACTTCACCCTTCCAGAAATTCTCTTGGACAAGGTCTAAGACCATCCCCCAGCCAGTTTGTTCATGTATGGGAAATGGACAGTTTTTATTTTGAAAAACTCTGGGTGTGAAAGACCTCCCCAAAGAATCAGTTTGTCTTCGCTCAGCTATTAGAGCGGATATCCAGCCACAAGCCCTTGTATTTCTCAGAACAGATTGGACAGAAGCCTGTCTGGCTCCTAATCTAGAGGGATGCATACCACGCTCTCCCAGGGACCCAGCTAAACTAACTTTCCTTAGACATGAGATGGGTGAGACCTACACCACATTGATAATTGTGGTCACATATCCTACTAGAATTTTCTCTGGTCTCTCAACCTTTTTTGTAGACTGAAAGTCATACACTGGTTTCTAGACAGTTGCTTTGCAGTCCTGCTTTGGTGGTCTTGCACCTTATTTTATGATATAGGAGTAACTGGCATTTGTTGCTCAGCCAAAACTTGTTGCGGGAAGTCAGGGACCCCAAACGGAGGGACCGGCTGGAGCTGCGGCAGAGGAACATAAACTGTGAAGATTTCATGGACATTTATCAGTTCCCAAATAATATTCTTATAATTTCTTACACCTGTCTTACCTTAATCTCTTAATCCTGTTGTCTTTGTAAACTGAGGATGTACGTCACCTCAGGACCACTATGACAATTGTGTTAACTGAACAAATTGATTGTAAAGCATGTGTGTTTGAACAATATGAAATCAGCGCACCTTGAAAAAGAACAGAGTAACAGCGATTTTCAGGGAACAAGGGAAGACAACCATCAGGTCTGACTGCCTGTGGGGTCGGGCAAAATAGAGCCATATTTTTCTTCTTGCAGAGAGCCTGTAAACGGACATGCAAGTAGGGAAGATATCGCTAAATTCTTTTCCTAGCAAGGAATGTTAATAATTAATACCCTGGGGAAGGAACGTATTTCTGGGGGGAGGTCTACAAACGGCCACTCTGGGAATGTCTGTCTTATGCGGTTGCAATAAGGACTGAGATATGCCCTGGTCTCCAGCAGTAACCTCAGGCTTACTAGGGTGGGGAAAAACCCCATCCTGGTAAATTTGAGGTCTGACTGGTTCTCTGCTCTCGAACCCTGTTTTCTGTTGTTTAAGAGGTTTATCAAGACAATACGTGCACTGCTGAACATAGACACTTATCAGTAATTCTGCTTTTGTCCTTGCCTTGTGATCTTTGCTTTTGCCCTTTGCCTTGTGATCTTCGTTGGACCCTTATTGGGAGTTTCTGATTTTGCCCTCATTCTGTTTCCTCAGAACCATTTGATCTTTGTTCGCCTTTTTGCCCTTTGAAGCATGTGATCTTTGTGACCTACTCCCTGTTCACACACCTCCTCCCCTTTTGAAATCCTTAATAAAAACTTGCTGGTTTTGCAGCTCGGGGGGCATCACGGTCCTACCGATATGTGACGTCACCCCCAGTGGCCCAGCTGTAAAATTCTTCTCTTTGTACTCTTTCTCTTTATTTCTCAGCCGGCCAACACTTGTGGAAAATAGAAAGAACCTATGTTGAAATACTGGGGGCGAGTTCCCCCGATAAAAACTGAGTGGGGAAGAGTCCCATTTTTACATCTTGTTACACATGCTAGCAAGAAATGGTCAGCACAAAAAAGCCCACTCATAAGAGAGTCAGCAAGCATGGTATAGCTCCTGCACATTCAGATCCCTAGAGAATGAAGAGCTGTTTTCTCTCTCCAAAGTTGGCATTTTTCTTGGTATGGTCATCGACATTCTCCAGATGCCACACGTTGGAGAGAGAAAGGTCAGGGCTGCCCTCAAGTGGTCTTACAGGCAGAAATTCCTAAGAGTGGATGGAGTAAAAGAACAGGAAAGAACAGTGTAAGAGCTCACTAAAACACTTTCCAGAAGCCCAGGGGTGAAGGGCGGTGAGTGCTGGAGGCCCTTGTCAGCAGAGGGGCCAAGTGTTACCGAATGAGGATGATCATCTTTAATGTGACCTCATGTGTTCTGTATTCCTGATACCAGTGCCATATTTTCCTTCAGATAAATTGAACTTAACTCCCACCAGCAACACGACGCTGTCTGAGAAAAGTCATTTTATATGGAAATGTTCGTTGGGTGACGATTATCCAGTATTATTAATAGAATGAGCTCAGGGCCATGCCCGGAGCGCCGAGGCTGCCCCGGCAGGAGTCCACGCTAACCAGCCTCCCCCATTAAGCGTCGTGAGGCGCGGGTTCCCGCTCCATGCCAGGTGCAGAGGGCGACACTGGCGACGTGCCACTCCACTCGCCTCCCAAGGCGCCCCCTCAGATGTTTGCGAACGCACATCAAAGCAGGCTCAAGACAATTGCTCCTGAGATGCCCGGCAGGACCCTGCCCTACCCGTCAGGCTCCATTTCTTGTTCCCGCAAATGGTGATGCCATCCCTGCCCTGTCAGCCCCTCTGGGCTGTCGTAGGCCTCCAAGGAGACAAAAACACGAAGGAGCTTTGTGAACTGTGGCGCGCAGTGCACCTGTATGAAACATGAAATTATGACTAAAAATAAAGAGTACGAGTGGGAGGAGCGAGAGGCTGAGAGGCCCAGCGCGACAGGAGGCTGCGGGCTGAGACGCTGCGAGCGCCGCCGGGGCGGGCTGACTGGAAGGCGGCTCCGGGTTTGTCATCCGGCCCCGCCCACCACTGGTCCCCAAAGGCCCGGGGGCGCGTCCGCACCCCCTCTCCTGGCCCGCGGGCCCCTTCCCACCACAGATCCCTCCCGGCGCCCGCCCCATTCGCGACCCAGGTCCCGCCCCTGCGCCAGGGCTCCCGCGCCCACCCCTCCCCGGCAGGCCCCGCCCTCGTGCGGCCCCTCCCGGAAGCGCCAGCAGAGCGACCTCGCATGGAGCGCGAGCCCAGCGCTTCGGAGGCCGCCCCCGCGGCGGCCGTGCTTTTCGCCTGGGTACGTGACTCCGCCCCCGAGCCAGGGCCAGCTGAGGGGCGCCAAGACGTGGGAGCTCTTGGCCGCGGCTTGGGCAGTTCAGGGGCTGGGTGGCCGAGATCCGAGCAGGGCTCTGGGTTGGAGGATCCTGGGCTGGGAGCAGGGGAGGAGCGGGCGGGGAGGGAAGGGTCTTTGCGGTCGACTTAGGGGCCTGCCGGCTGGCGGGGCCGGAGCCGGAGGTGCTGTGGCGCTGCGGGAAGAACCTGCCTGGGGCAGAGCGTCTGGTTCCGCGAGAGCCCTGCAGCCCGCATAGCACCTGGAAGATAGCGCGAAGGGCTCGGTGGAGAGGATCGCCCGGTCCCAGAGCCCCGTGGGGCCACCTGTGCCCCCCACCCTCCTGATGCCTGGAGGAGGGAGGCCGTGTCCCAGCCTGGCGAGTGCATCCTTTGGATGTGAGGCCTGCCGTGTTTGGTCGCTCACAAGGCACAGACCCTACCTATTTGCTGATACTCTGCTGTGACCGGTTCTTGCCTGTCTTGGGGAAGTTGAGCTGCTGTTGGTTTGACGGGAGCATTGGGAGAGACAGGGTCATCTTGATGTGTGTTTGGGAGACAGGAGGTTTCGTGCACAGGAGCGTGGCAGGTGGCCGACCAGCATGCACAGGAATGAGCTGCGTCTTGTGCTTCTTCATAGCGCGTATCACAATTTTAATGATGTCTATAATTTATTATTAACGCCAGTCTCTCTGGCTAGAAAGTGTGGTGAGAGTGGGTGCTGTGCCTGTCTTGTTCACAGTGTCTCTCTTGGTGTCTGGCACATTGTAGGTCCCCAGTAAATACTTGTTGACGAATGAGTGATCCGTGTGCCTACCCATGTGCTGGTGTTGGGGAAATACACGAGTGAAATACACATGAGTGAGAGACTTCCAGTTCTTGTGTTGGGTGAGAGCAAAAGTATAACCTGCATTGCTGTTAAAATCAGTATTAATTGACCATTTTTTAAAGAAGTAATGATCAGTACAAGGAGGCACTGGTTCAATGTGGTGCTACAGTTTGGCAGGAGGGAGAGCATGGCCTGCGGTAGTCTGGGTGGCTGGGCGTCTTTGAGGTGGCCCGGGAGCTGGGGGATTGAATGTGTGCTGTCTCTGGCTTTTTCCAGGCAGGAGACTGGCGTCTGTGTGGACAGAGGAAACATCAGGCAGAAACAAACCTTTAATATTCGGCCTTGTCTGTACTGAAACAGTATGTCTGTAAAATATGTTTAATAGGTTGTTGACACCCTTCTGCTGTGTTTGGAGAACTGGTGGTGTGTTTTTGCTGCTGCATAATCTGAAACTGTGGGGGTGTGTTGGCCGGCTAGGGCTACCATAACAAAATACCACACAATAGAGGCTTAAACAACAGAAATTTATTTTCTCACAGTTCCAGAGGCTAGAAGGCCAAGATCAAGGTGTGAGTAGGTTTGGTTTCTCCTGAGGCCTCTCTCTGGCTTGCAGATGTCTGCCTTCTCACTGTGTCCTCACATGGCTTTTTTCACTGTGTCCTCACATGGCCTTTTCTGTGTGTGTTAGCATCCCTGGTGTCTCTTCTTTTAAGGACACCAGTTATATTGGATTAGGGCCCCACCCTTATGACCTCATTTAACCTTAATTGCCCCTTTAAAGGCCCCCTCTCCAAATACAGTAAGGTACTAAAGGTTAGGGCTCCAACATGTGAATTTTGGGGGAATAAAGTTCAGTTCACAGTTACCTTGTTAGGGATGTGTGTGTGTGTGTGCGCGTGCGAGTGCGCATGCATACATGTGCACGTGTGATATGTCTGGTGTGTTTGTAAGGAAAAAAGGCAAACAACAGTTGTAATAGGTTGTGTTAAATTTCGCTTCATCTTGCTTTATCCTGGATTTAGGGCCTCTCTCAGCATTACAAAAATTGGTACCATAGTTTGAACCTCAGAGTGCCCATGTGTCATATTACTTTTCTCCCAGGTGTTCAGCAGCCTTGCACCCCTGGTAATGGGACAGCCATGGAGATCTCAGGGCTGACCAAGAAATACTATGTGTGTATACTCTATATTCCCCTTCATGTTGAGCGACAGTCTTTCATAGGGTCTTACATTCGTTCACCATATAAATGCATGTACATCTTCTTCGGGCCAGCACAGTTTCAGATGCAGGGGAAACAGCAGTGAGCAAAGCAGAGTTCCTGCCCTCCTGGAGTTTAGTTTCTAGCAGGGGAGGTGTACAGTAAACAAGTAGACATATATAATGTAACATCAAGAAGTGGCATGAAGAAAAATAAAGCAGAAAATGAGTGATATGGGGATGCTATTTTAGATAAGGTCATACAGTTAACCACCTGCCAGGTAAGCTCTGGGATGGTTCACTGTATGTTCTTTTTTTATTTTTTCTTAGAGACACAGTAAGGTACAGTAAAAGGTACAGGGCATCAGACTTTTTGCCTATCCAGATGTTAACTATGGAAAATTACTTAACCTCTCTGAGCCTTAGTTTCTTCCTCTGTGAAATGGGAGTAATAATGTCCTTCTTAGTTGTGAGGATTAAAGGTGAATGCGCAGTATGGAGAGAAGCACTCAGTAATTGGTAGCTAATAATTGCCCCATGTGGGCTCCTGGGACTTATGCCCCTGCTATGGCTTACTCTTCCATCTTTGAGTTCTTACAGCCCAGGATGGCTGTGAAATAGACTACAAGGGGATGGATTATATATGTATGTATGTATGTAAGCATGTCTGTATGTATTTGTTGTAATTATTTTACATCACCTTTCCTCATTCAGGTGTCTTCAAAAACAAATATATTTAAAATATTTTACTTCTCATCTCCAGGAAGAATCAGCTAGGAGTAGATACTTCAATAAATTATAAAGATTTCTGAAATCTTAGTAAGATTCTCTCTGCAGGTCCACAATCCCTTATCTTCAATTCTGAATACAAAAAGCTCTGAAAATCCAAAACTTACTGGACATAAGGCCATTTATAGTATTTGGCCACTTCTTATGAATATTTGTACTTTTTAATGCAGAAAGATTATTGTTTTGCTTATGGGCTGCTGTCCCTGGACCTTGCATCAGCATATATGACATGTATACTGTATTACTTTTCTAAAAGCTGTAAAATTCTGAATCTGAAATACATCTGATTGTAAGCATTTCAGATTAGGGATTATGGACCTTTTTTGTATTATAATAATAATAATAATAATAGACATATTGCCTGTCAAGGGGAAATCTGTCCCCTTACTGGAATCTCACCATGTGAATCTTGGAGCCACATAGCACTGAACTTGAAAAGGCCCTTAGAGATCATTGCCAACCTCTTTCACTGTACAAATGAAATAATGACGTGCCTTGCTTTAAGGCACAAAATCCTTAGCCAACTTTGATTCCAGAGTCATTGTCAGTTTTCCCATTATGGGTGTGGGGAGGAGGAACAAGAACTAATTCCAGGATGTTGCCCTCCCATTTTGATGCTGTTTCTCCCTCATTTTTTTCTTTTCTTAACTTCCCTAGGTAGTTAGTTTTTATCAGAAGCAACCCCTGTGCTGTCTCCCAAAGGCAATACATGGGGGCTGGAGCATAAGAAGGGAAAGTTGAGGAATATCACTGGCTGAGTTGTGGGTGCTTAGGACTCTTCTCATATGGAAATCGTGGTGTTCTGAGGATGGGGCCTCTAACTAAATATGGGTTGCATATAACAGCCGGTAAGAATGATCCTAACAGGTCATTTCCTCTTTGGTCAGTTTCCCACTTGACAAAGGAAGGGTAAGATTTACATTCCCAAATACTCCAAAGTCCTTCAGTGAGCGAATTATTATTATTTTTCTTTTCAGATTTTGGGGAAGGGATTTAAGGAGGGAAGAAAGGAGATGGGGTGAGAGGGTTTCTAAGTCTGAAACTCTGTCTGTCCTGAGCTGTCCCCATGATTACTCAAGGACAAGGGGAGACAGTTTTGCCCACAGCTCCAGAGACGCAGATAACAAAGGAATGACCTTCATTCTTCTTCATGCTGGCCCCTGTAGGGGTCTGTGAGCAGCTTCTACTGGAACTTTGTTTGGATTCTGTGTCCATATTTATAATTTATTTGAAACGTGCTGGATAGCGTTCTCTTTTAGGGGCTGAAGTTCAGCTAGGGAAAGCAGTGAGGTGGCATGGGACGTGGGTGTAGGGGGAGGGAGTAAGGAGAGATATGAGATACTCCTGCCAAGGACTCGAGGCTCAGAACTCTCTCTAGAGAAGACAAGGCCCTCCTCCTCAAGAGGCTGTCTTGTTCTCAGTCAGAAGAACCTTGATTTAGGATATGGCCTCTCTTTTCATGGCCACTCTAAGAGGAAAGGCTACTTTACCCCATCACCTCTAGAGGGTTGGGCTAGGCCAAGGACCTCATAGGACTTCTGCCCCCCCAACCATGGCTGGCATTGCTGCTTTGCCTTCTAGGGCCTGAGGTAGAAAAAAGTGTGGGTTCTTCAGCTGCTGCAGGAGGCCAAGAGGCAGGGCATTTGTCCTTTGCCCCAGTAAATTAAGCCTGCCAGGGTACCTACCTAGGAACTTTCCTGGATGTGAATTTCCTCCACTATTATGGTCCTGAGTCTCTTACTAATGGTATTACAGATCAGGGGTCAGGAGACGGTGTTACATGTTGTTTTCTGGTGCTTGTTATTATATATTTGAATAAACAGTGCTGTGAGTATTTGCCATGAAGGAGCTAAATTTTTTTTTTTTTTTTTTTTTTTAAGAATGAGCTTAAGAAATCTCATCTGTTATAGGCTCTGAGAGATACGTCAGGGTGAGAAAGATAGAGACAGGTAAATAGACATTGACAGTCATGGTTCCCAAACTTTTTCATCTTTGGCTTATTCATCTGTAGGGTGCAAATAGCTATGGGCAACTTGGCCTCGGCCATAAGGAAGATGTGCTGTTGCCCCAGCAACTGAATGACTTCTGTAAACCCAGGAGTGTCAGGAGGATCACAGGAGGAGGAGGCCACTCTGCAGTTGTCACAGGTAACTTCCTTCAAAAGTAGATAGTCACTCATTTTCTTAGTTAGACATTTTCCCCTGGATATGATATTGCCATTTTTCAGCCTTTTGTATTTTGCAGAGGAAAATAATGTATTTTTGTGAAACATTTTTGTGAAAGAGCCAAATTGCCATCAGAGGATCCTAGATTTTCAGGGCTGGAAGGACTTCAGAGATCTTCTTCTAGGCCACCTCTTTCCCTCACCCCCTCCATTGTACAAATGAAACTCAGAAAGGAACACTGATTGCTTAACATCACAAGGCAAATAAGTGGCAGAATTACAATGTATATTTTACACCATAGGAGTTAGAAGTGTTTGTAATTAGATTGGATATTCCTTGAGAGCAAAAACTGTGCATTTCCCTTAATCCTCCCTTACTGTATCTAGGATAGCACTTAACAAGTAGTACAAGTGCTACAATGTTGTAAAGGGGGGCATATTGCATCTGGTTAAGAACATGAGCTCTGGAATCAAATCTCTGGGTTCAGATCCTGGTTCTGTGACTTACTATCTATGTGGCCTTGGGCAAATAGCCACAGTTTCTGAATCTGTTACATGAGGATAATAATGGTGGGTGAAGAGAGCCAGTGAGTTAGCAGGGCTCCATTCTGACTGTCATGGGTCCTGGGTGCTTTTCCCTTTATGGACCCCTTTCTTTGTAAAGAAATAAAATCATATTTTACAACTGTGTTGGTATAAAGATGGATATTAATATAATACACTCTGGATTTAGTGTTATATATGCATTGTTACTGTATTATCTTTTTCTCATTTCAAAATAACTAAAAATTAAGCCACTCTGTGGGCCTCTGAAAGTGTTGTGGGCCCTAAACACTATGCCTAAAGGATGAATCCGCCCTGCACACAAAGCTGTTAAAACAGTACCTGGCACATTCTAAATGTTAAATAAATGTTGGCTTTTTGTTCCAGTAGATGCTCAGTTTGGTGACTGACCACTGCTCCAAGACTTGAAGTTTCTATGTAGGTATTAGTTTGAGGCCCTTGGTCTTGTGTTGTTTGGCTCCAGAATACATGAACATACACAACTTATTAACTTGGATGGGAAAAAAAGTTATTGGTCTGAGACTCCAAATAATTAGTGAAATCTTTTTGTTCATTTTGCAGTTGTGTTTTTCCCAGTGCACGCTATCACTGGTGCCTTTATATTTTACAGATGGAGGAGACCTCTTTGTTTGTGGTCTGAACAAAGATGGGCAACTGGGGCTTGGTCACACAGAGGATATCCCATATTTTACCCTCTGCAAATCCCTCTTTGGCTGTCCCATCCAACAGGTGGCCTGTGGCTGGGATTTTACCATTATACTCACAGGTGAGTTCACTCCTAGGTAAATTTGTATCACCACAAAGGCTTTGGGTGAGAACAGTATGATGGTGGTGACTGCCGATTAAATGAAAGCCTCTTTGTGTTTAAAAGGCACACACAAGGCCCGGTGCGGTGGCTCACAATTGTAATTACAGCACTTTGGGAGGCCAAGGCTGGTGTATCGCTTGAGGTCAGGAGTTCGAGACCACCCTGGCCAACATGGTAAAACCCCGTCTCTACTAAAAATACAAAAATTAGCCAGGTGTGGTACCCCATGCGTATAGTCCCAGCTACTCTGTAGTCCCAGCTGTTTGGGAGGCTGAGGCAGGCGAATCACTTGAACCTGGGAGGTGGAGCTTGCAGTAAGCTGAGATGCACCATTGCACCCCAACCTGAGCAACAGAGCAATACTCCATCTCAAAATAAATAAAAATAAATAAAAAGCACACACAAATTTTCCCTCTGGTTGTCAAGAAAAGTTGTGGACTACCTTTTCTAAGGAGAGTTTAATGGTAAAGGAGACTGGGATTGGGGTGGAAAACTTGTCAGAGAGTAGGGAATAGACTAGATCACCTTTGGTGGCCACTTCCTGTCCCAAAAGTTCGTGATAGCTGCATGCCTGGGGTAGCTGGCCAGTGGCCAGCAGTGGCAGCGAAGGGTTATTTGTGGGGAGTGTGGTAGGAAAATATGAGGCAATAGTGGTTGTCAAAACAGTGATGGCAGCTTTTTCCCACTGTGGGATTTTTTTTTTTTTTTTTTTTAATAATTGGTATTGGGCAGATCTGTTTGGTCTTTGTGAAGCCAGGTAGCAGGATAGGATATGGCCAGAGGGTTATTAGAATAATGCACTTGGGAACAGCCAGAAGTAGTTACTTTGTCAGCTGATGTCTGTTCCCTTGAAGCAGTTTTGACCTCTCTGTTCAGCTTTGCTCTGTCTAGCTGGCCATTCTGGATTTAAAGGACCATCTATGGTTTCTGACCAGGCTCCCTCTTTGCCACAGTCCTCTGGCAAGGGCATCTTCTGTCACCCTTCTGTCATAAACCCTTGTGGATTCTCCCAGACATAGCTCGGATCCCTAGCTTTTTAGAGTTGGCCTTCTGTAACTGTTCCCTAGCTATCTTTGTGCCTTGTCTCTTATTCTCCACACTCCTCATACTTTTCTTTCTAGTCATACCAAGCAGTACATGCTCTTCTGTCTGTCTGGACCAGCCCCTCTTGTCTGTCTGATGGACTCAAATCCCAGCTTTAAAACCCTGCTCAAGTGTCACCATCCTCCTCTGTGGAGGGGTTCTGTAATATGTGTTGAATTTGATGGTAATTATTAGAATCTAAATAATAACTATCATTTATGAAGTGTTTATTGTGAGCCTATGTTTTGGATTGTAAGGAGTTAGTAGATAATGCTGTTTCCTGCTCACATTTGGAGCCAGTTGTGAGAAAGGCACAGAGAAGTCATAATGGAGATTAAAAACTATTGGCTTTTCACTGGTAAAGGCTAAATTGGAGGACGGGATTAATGATGAGGCCAGTGGTCCTAATATTCTTCTGGTCCAAACTTACCCCCAAATCTCTAGGCTTTCCCCACAGGGAAATACTTCCTATGTGTCAGCCTAGAATGACTAACAGGGAGGTGCCAAGCCACACATGTCCTATCCCGTCTCCTAAACTCACCAGTTGGTTACATGACCGCTGTCTCCTAGAAAGCAGTGAGGATGGGGAAGGGCACGGAGAAAAGCTGGAGTGTTTTACTAATGGAAACTTTGTCACATGGAAGCATGAAAAGTGAGAAATTACTATCCTCCCATCCCAATACTGTGCACTGAGTTAAGTGTTCTACACAGATAATCTGTTATTAATGAGATAATAGAATAGACAGTCGGTGTAGAATGCTTAACCTGGTGCCCAGTGTTTTCATTCCCAGAGGAATAAAAGCAGGGAATGTGGTCTGAATGCACTGAAGCATTTCCCCTCATCCCCTTTGCATCTCTCACCCTGCACCATTTAACCATTGGTCACAGACATCTTACTTCATAGATCTGCAATTTAAGGATTTGTATTTTGCAGAAAATGGTCAAGTTCTATCATGTGGATCCAACTCCTTTGGCCAGTTAGGAGTTCCTCATGGACCTCGAAGATGTGTGGTTCCCCAGGCCATTGAGGTGAGGACAGTTAATATTTAGCTTGCCCATGACCTGTTAAAGTGTTTCTGAGGTATTAACCTATCTCTTCCCAGAATAAAAGGCTGTCAGGATCCCTGAAAACCCATGGGGTAGGAGAATTCAAGTTGAAAAATAGGTCCTTCTGGGAAAAGTTAAGTTGGGAGGTAGATGTTGTGAATGAAAACCTCTGTTAGTTTTTATACACTTTATATGAAGTTTTGTGAAATAAAACAATAAAAGTAATACATCTCATAAGGGTATTAATGACATTTTACAGTTCTAAAATTAGTAATAATGGAAATTATCTTAGAAATAGGTCCAAATAGTAGTGATTTGTCAAAAGACACTAAGCTGGGCAAATGGTATAGGCCAGTGCCAGCCAGTAGAAATATAATGTGAGCTGTATATAATTTAAAATTTTCTAGTAGCTCCTTTTAAAAAAGAAACAGGTGAAATTAATTTTTAAAATAAAAGCATTATTGAACTATAATTCAGGTACCATAAAATTAACCCCTTTAAAATGTATATCCACAGAAATGAACAACCAATATCATTATCTTATTTTAGAACATTTTCATTACCACCAAAAGAAACTATATACTTAATAGCAGTCAATTCCTATTCTCCCCTCCCCTCAGCTCCTGGTGAGTACTAATCTACTTTTTGTCTCTATGGATTGCCTGTTCTGGACATTTCATATAAATGAAATAATAAAATATGTGACCTGGCTCCTTTTACTTCACTTGATGCTTTCAAGTTTTGTCCATGTTGTAGCATGTAGGTGAAATTAATTTGAATAACTTTTAAATTAATACAGTATATCTACACTATTATTTCAGCATGTCATCAGTATAAAGTTATTTTTTGTTTTTATTTTTATTTTTGAGGCGGAGTCTTGCTCTGTCGCCCAGGCTGGAGTGCAGTGGTGCAATCTCAGCTCACTGCAGCCTCCGCCTCCCGGGTTCAAGCAGTTCCCTGCCTCGGCCTCCCGAGTAGCTGGGATTACAGGCGCCTGACACCATGCCCGGCTAATTCAGTACAAAAAGTATTAACGAGATATTTTATACTGATTTTGTACTAAGTCTTTGAACTCTGGTATGCATTGTTTACTTACAATATGTCTCAGTTTAGTGTAATCACATTTCAAGTTTTCAAGAGCTATGTGTAGGTAGTGGCTACCATATTGGACAAAACAAGTGTTAAACAGGACTGTTGGCCCTAGTTCAGAGTTCTTTAATTCAGTGCATCATACTTAAAATCACCCCTTTTTGTGAAGTTTATATTGTAAGTGATCATAATAGGAATATAGAATTTTTAAAGAAATATGCGTAAATCAAAAATGAGTTTTACCACCTAAGCTGCCCTGCTCCGATCTAATTTTCCTAAACTCTGATTAGTAGTGGAGATGTTTTTTTCCCTGGAGAAAGCTTGGGTCTGCCCCTGCCAGCTTGCTGAACTCAGTTGCTGGTCTGTGGACTGTTATTGGGGGTCATTGTTCCCATGGTATGCATACAAGTCTAGGCTCTGTAGCCCCTGAAGGAAGTATTATAGCTCCCAATTGCAAATAGATGGCCTGGTAAGCACCTATGTATAAGTTATAATTAATTTAGCTTAATTATACTTTATATAATTAAGGAATAGAGGAATAATGGTTAAAATATGTTGAATGACAGAATCAGAAAGTAAAAACATTTTGACAGGTGATATTCTATGCAACAATAGGAGCAATGTGCCAAAGTGAAATTTAATGGAAATTCATACATTTATTTAATGACAACCGTTATGTGTAGGTACTATGTTTAGGCAGTGGGAGCAAAGTTAAATAAGACCTGTCCTAGCAGTTGAGAGCTATAGTTTGGTAGGACATGATAGGCACATAAATACTTAAATGTAACACCATGTCAGAACTATGACAGATGCATGTATATCCCCAAAGGAGGGAGTATTGAGCATCTAGGGGAAGGTGGGGTGAGAAGAGGCTTAAGCTAAGTCTCAAAAGTTAAATAGAAGTTTACCTGTCTTGGGATAGGAGGATGCTCAGAGTGGGTACAAAAGAAGAACATTCTAGGCAGAAGGAACCATGTAAGCAAAGGTGGAGCAGAATAAAACAGGAGAGTTTGAGATATTGTAAGTAGTGTAGTATGGTTGGAATATAAGGAAGAGGTGGGAGTTCCAGGGTAGAGTAGGTGGGAATGGGGCAATCAGGGTGGTTGTATGTCACACATGGTAAGAACAGCACGGTAGGGTGGTCAGATAGGGTAGTAGAAGATGGACTGAAGGAAGATTACTTAGGAAACTCTTGCTAACAATCCAAATGAGATGATTGTGGCTCAAACTAAAGCAGCAGCAGTTGGGATGGAGAGTAAGAGGGAGGTGAGTGGTGTTAAAGAGACTGAAGTCACATGTAAAACCCTTCAGTTAGTTTTTGGGGGAAAAACAAAAGAAAAATATAAAGGATGATATGTTCGAATTGTATTAACACTAAGATTTGATCTTCCCGAAAGCTAATGTGATTGTGGACTCCATTGACAGAAGTATAGTTTTCAGAAGAAGGAAGGCCAGAGCTCAGTCCTTTCTGCCATTCAGCCTGCGTCTGCGATGTCATGTTTTGTTGTGGATTTAGTGCTTAGGCCCTGGGCGTAAACGTATATAAGACTCAGGTCCTGCCCTTGAGGGTTCTAAAGTTTAGAAAGACACTGTGGACCTGTAAATAAACAAATGTGATAAACCTTGATGGGGTTAGGATGATGCTATAGAGTTCCTTTAAAAGAGAAAGATTGAACAACTAGAGCATATTTAGAGAAGTGAAGACCAGGAGGGGAAGGGAATTTGAAACCCAGTGACGGCTGATGAATGGGGAATATTTGCTTAAAGAAAAGATCTTCATTAGTTATCTATTGCTGTGTAACAAATTACTCCAAACCTTAGCAGCTTAAAACAGCAAACATTTATTATGTCACAGTTTCAGAGAGTCAGGAATTTAGGAACAGCTTAGCTGGTCTCTCATGAAGTTGCAGTTGAGATGTTAGCTGGGTCTGCTTGCGATCTCCGTGAACCTGTAAATAAACAAATGTGATAAAGTCCTAATGGTTCCATGTTCCTTGCCATGTGAACCTTTCTATTGGACTTTTCAGACATAGCATCTGGTTTCCTCCAGGAGTGATGAGAGACAGAGAGATGCTAAGCAAGAAGCCTTAGTGCCTTTTTTTGCCTAGACTCTGAGTCACTCATTGCTTCTTTATTCTCTTTATTAAAAGCATGTCACTAAGTCCAGCCCACACAAGGGGAGGGGTATTAAGCTCCACATCTTGAAGGGAGGAGTAGCAAAGAATTTGAGGACCTATTTTTAAAACCACCACAAGATGTCTTAGGGAGGACATGACAACTGTCTTCAAATATTTGGAAAGCATTGTCAGGAGTTGCAGGCAGCTAGATTTAGTTCCACCTAAAGAGATAAATGGAACTGTGCAAAGAGGGAACAGGCATCTGGGGAAATGGCGATCCCTATGTCACTGGGGGTAGGTGTTTGGCAGGAGTTGGATGACCACTTGGTGGGGTATTGTTGGATGGGGATTGGACTAGATCAGGTTGGGAAACTTTGAACCCTTCGTAAATAAAGTCTTACTGGCACACAGTCATGCTCATTCGTTTATGTATCGTCTAGAGCTGCTTTTATGTTACAATGGCAGAGCTGAGTAGTGTGACAGAAACTATGGCCTGTAAAACATTTACCAACTGTCCCTTTACAGAAAACATTTACTAACTCTTAGACTAGATGACCTTATAAGTGCCTTTCAGCCCTGAGAGTTGTTGTCATATGGTGTTGTGATATGGCATTTTAAAAGATATATTGTTTTCTTTTAGGGATAAATATAGAGGTATTTATGGGTGGAAATGTTGGGGGAGTGGTTGCTTTAAACCAGTCAGACCCATAGTGAGGAGTGTACTGCGTTGTATTTGGGTATAAATTATATACAGTTTTGTAGGTGGATGGTTCTGAGATCTAAATCCTTTTCTTTATTTTGACAGCTCCATAAAGAGAAGGTTGTTTGTATTGCTGCTGGACTGAGGCATGCATTAGCTGCTACAGGTGATCATTTTATCTTTATTTTTTATTGTTATTTTTAATATTTTTTAGAGATGGGGTCTCACCTGTTGCCCAGGCTGGAGTGCAGTGGCTCGACCATAGCTCGCTGTAGCGTTGAACTCCTGAGCCCAAGCTGTCTGACTCCCTCAGCCTCCTGAGTAGCTAGAACTATAGGTGCATACCACCATGCCCTGCTAATTTTTAAGATCTTTTTGTAGAGACAGGGTCTTGCTATGTTGCCCAGGCTGGTCTTGAATTTCTGGCCTCAAGCAGTCCTCCCACCTCGGCCTTCCAAAGTACTGGGATTACAAGTGTGAGCCACTGTGCCTAGCCTGCCCCCCTTTTTAAAAAATAGGTCTGCAATAAGAGGAAACTGAACTTTGGGGGACAAACCCTTTAGGGAATATTTCAAAGTCCTGCTGCATTGTGTTTCTGATGAAAAGGAGAGAACATAAGTCATGTGGGAAAGACATTAGCAGGTAGGGAGGAAGGAAATGGAGTTTTCTAGCTCTTTATGTTCTAGGTATGGTGCTAGGTGCTATTGATTTGATTACTTTAATCCTCACAACCAGGAAGTGATGCGAGTTGCATTTTACACGTGAAGAAACTGAGGCACAGAGTTAAAGTGCTTGTGTAAGCTTTCACGGGGAGTAAGGTAGAGCTGGGATCAGAGGCTGGGATGGTTTGCATCCTAAGGCCCATGTTCTTTGCAGGCAACTGCACTGCCTTCCTAATGGATTTTAATGTTTATTAATTTAAAAGCTTTAAGTGAGCTTGTCTCCTGTACTGTGAGTGGGTGATGGGACTGACAGTCTGTATGTGAGGGGGACAGGGAGGTGGCATGTGGGAGAACAGTGACCCTTTTATCTCTTCCCCTTTTCATTTTTTCTGCTCTTACTCCTTTTGAACTGAAGGACAGCACTAATTGGCTGTGGCAGCTGAGGCTCAAGTGCTTCGTGAGTCCAGTTGTGGAGTGGAGGAAGGAGAGAGGAGGTGAGGAAGAGCTCAGTGCAGGACTGTGCTGATGGTCCTGAGCTTAGCATTGATTATACTTCAAAAAAAATTCAACTTTTTGTTTTGAGATAATTGCAGATGCTCATGCAGCTGCAAAAATAAAACAGACCTCGTGTATTCTTTTCCCAGTATCCCCTAATGGTATCTTGCAAAACTATAGTACTATAACATAATGAGGGTATTAACATTGATACAATCAAGACATAGAACAGTTCCATTACCACAGGGATCCTTCCTGTTGCCCTTTTATAGCCATACCCATTTCTACCTGCCTATATCCACTTCTTAGCCCTAGGCTAAGCACTCTTCTGTTCTCCACCTCTATGATATTGTCATTTTGAAAATGTTATATGAATGGTATCATACAGTATATAACCTTTTGAGGTTGGCTTTTTTCACTCAACATAATTCCCTAGACATTCATCCAAGTTGTATATATCAATAATTCATTCCTTTTCATTGCTGAGTAGTATTTGTTGGTATGGGTGTACCACAGTACTAATCTGCTAGGGCTGCCATAACGAAATACCACAAACTGGGAGGTTTAAAGGACAGACATCTATTTTCTCATCATTCTGGAGGCTAAAAGTCTTAAGATTATTGTGTTGTTAGGATTGGTTTCTTGTGATTTTTTTTTTTTTTTTCTGGCCTGTAGGTGACCACTTTCTTACTTGGTTCTTGCATGGCATTTTTTGGTGTGCCTGTAGAGAGCGAGAGATCTCTGATGTCTCTTCCTCTTCTTGTAAGGACACCAGTCCTATTAGATTAAGGCCCTACACATGTGACCCCCTTAAACTTTTATTGCATTCTTTAGCCCCTATCTGCAAATCTAGTTACACTGGGCATTAGGGTTTCAACATCTGAATTTTAGGGGGATACAGTTCTTCCCATGCCTATGTATATATACACACACACAAATATATTTACACACACACGCACATATGCATATATATATATATATATATGTATTTTTAAGATGGGGTCCCCCTGTCTTGTCCAGGCTGGGGTGCAGTGGTGTGTTCATGGTTCACTGCAACCTCAAATTTCTGGACTCAAGCAGTCCTCTTGGTTCAGCCTTCCAAGTAGCTGGGACTACAGATGTGTGCCACCACACTCCACTAATTTTTACATTTTTATTCTTGTAGAAATGGGTCTTGGTATGTTGCCCAGGCTCGTCTTGAACTCCCAGCCTCTGACAATCTTCCTGCCTTCTCCTCCCAAAGTGTTGGGATTACAGTGTGAGCCTCTGTGCCCAGCCTGAATGAGGTCTACATATTGTAATTAGTTGATATGTATCACAAGTCTTTCTTTTTTAAAAAAATTGTTTTTTTCTTAATTTTTTATAATGGTAAAATATACATAGTGTATAGTTTATTATCTTAATCATTTTTAAGTATATTAAGTACATTCATATCATTATGCAATCATCACCACCATCCATTTCCAGAATTCTTTTCATCTTGCAAAACTGAAACTCTATACCCATTAAACAATAACTCCCCACTCCCCATTCCAATGGCCTGTGGCAATCACTATTCTACTTTCTGTCTCTGTAGTTCTGACTACTGTAAGTCCCTCATCTAAGTGGAATCATACAGTATTTGTCTTTTTTGTGACTGGCGTATTTCACTTAGCATGATGTCCTCAGGGTTCATCCATGGAGTAGGATATATCAGCATTTAGGTCCTTTTTAAAGTGGATAATATTCCATTGTATGGATATATCACATTTTGTTTACCATTGATCTGTCAATGGACATTTGAGTTGCTTCCATGTTTTAGCTATTGTGAATAATGCTGATATGAACATGGGTGTACAAATATCTCTTCAAGATCCTCCTTTCAATTCTTTTGGATATATACCCAGAAGTAAAATTATCAGTTCATATGGTAATTCTATTTTTAATTTTCTGAGGAACTACCATGCTATTTTCCGCAGAAGTTTTACCATTTTGTTTCCACCAGGAGTGCACGAGGTTCCAATTTTTCCAAAAACTCACCGACACTTGTTATTTTCTGTTTTTTTAAAATCGTAGCATCAAAATGTGTGTGAGGTGATATCTCTTTTCATTTTCCTAATGGTTAGCAATGTTGAGCATCTTTTCATGTTTTTACTGGACATTTGTGTATCTTCTTGGAGAAATGTCTGTTCAAATCCTTTGCACTGCGCCCTCCTTCCCCGCTTTTTTTTTGAGACAGCATCTTACTCTGTTGCCCAGGATAGAGTGCAGTGGCATGATCTTGGCTCACTGCAGCCTCCACCTCCCAGGCGCAAGTGATCTTCCCACCTTAGCCTTCCAGGCAGCTGGGACTGCAGGTGTTCGCCACCATGCTTGGCTAATTTTTAAATTTTTTTGTAGAAATAGGGTCTCACTATATTGCCCAGGCTCTTCTCAAACTCCTGGGCTCAAGCAGTCCTCCCATTTCAGCCTCCCAAAGTCCTGGGATTACATCTTTGCCCATTTTTTAATTGAGTTGTTTCTTTTGGTTGTTGAGTTTTAGGAGTTCTTTATATATTCTGGATATTAATCTCCTGTCAGCTATTTGAAGTCTCTTATAATCTGTAAAGTTTTTCCTCTTTTTTTTTCCTCTTGTAGTCAATTTGTTGAAGAGATCATAAGTTTTTGTTTCAACACTGCGCTTTGCTCACATTGTGCTCAGTGGTCATAGCTTATTTTTCACAAAACAGCCTTGTCTGTTTACAGCCTAAAAAAGGACTGCTGTTTATAGGATACTCCCAAAGGAGCAGAACTTTAATGTTGCTGTTGGGTGATGGATCCTATTTGCACACACCTGTCTGTAGACCAAATATCAAATATCTAGAATTTCATCTTTGCCTTTGTATGAGGTTCAGAACATAGGTACATGAATTAGATTCAGTGGGCATGAAAGTAAAAGGCCATTCCACTGAAATCATGGCTGTTAAGAAGCTATCTTGCAGTCATAAGTATGTATTTACTTGGCAATTAGGAATCTTTGAATTCGTCTTGGTGTCGTGGAAAGGGCACTACATTAGGTGTTAGAAGAACTGAGTCCTGGCATTTTCTCTGCTGTTACCTTCCTGCATGGGGAGACAAATCACATCCTTTCTTCAGGGCCCCAGTTTTCTCATCTACTAAATGTGAGGAATGGACTTGATGATCTTCAAGGTTCTTTTCTGCTTTGTCTCGGGTCTGAGTTGTCTTTTCAGGTTAATCATGAATAAGGTGTCATTCCACTGATTTGACTCTGGAGGAGTGTCCCGGAACTTTTTATAGGAAGTTGTGTGGTATTGGAATTTACTTTGATGGTCTTAGTCTGCCCTGAAGACTGAATTTGTAATTGGCTTGGTGGTAATCCCTGGACCAGTTGCAGGACCTCTTGAAGCAATTGAGCTTCTCCATAACACTCATATTAATTGAGAAAGAATTGGGAATTTCTCATAGCAGTGAGGTTCAGAGAGCAATCTAATCTTATCCTGATGTGCATCTTCTCTGCTTTCTCTTCCATTCTGTTGGGAAGCGAGTGGCATCGTGTTCCAGTGGGGGACTGGTTTGGCATCATGTGGACGACGGTTGTGCCCTGGGCAGGCTCTTCCATTGTTTTTCACAGCAAAGGAACCAAGCAGAGTGACAGGTAAGATGCTTCTTTCTTTAGTCCTGTATTTGTTCTTTGTCAGGAAGTAGAGACATAAACATGCAGAAAAGGATTAAATGGATTTTTGATTTTGTTATTTCTTGGTCTCTCTAACTTTCTCTATTAGTTGGTCTGTTAGTCTTGCTGGCAGTTTTTGTCAGCCCAGTAGAAGCAACTCTCTTTGCTGCCAGAGTTTGGAACCCATTGAGGCATAGATGCAAGTCAGGTAGGTGGAGATTGAAATGGTAACTCTAGGACTGTTAAAAGCTAGATTGGAAGACATGTTTAGGGGTTTGAAGACAATGTATAGTCATAGTGAGCCTCTAATTCTGAATCTCAGATTGAATTTACCCACCAAGCACCGTGGTAGCTGTGTAGAGTTGGCCCTGCTAAACTTAATGCCTGACCAAGAGGACATTAGGACGTGCCCTCTCTGCAGGAAGGCACACCCCAAAGAGGGAGCCCAGGAGGACCGTGCCTTGCATGGCCAGTTCCTTCTCCCAAAAAGGAAGCAGGAGTGAGTGAGGATGTAGACAGAGGGGCCAGGAGTGTTCCCACAGAGAAATCTTTCTATGCGAAAATACGAGGAGTAAGTAACATGTTCTGCCCATAGGTCTGTTGGTCATTTGGTCTGTATTTTCTCCTTCCTTTTCTTCCCCCTCCCCTTCTTCCCCTGTCTCTATCTCTCGTTCTTTCTCTCTGCTCTCCTTGTGGGCCTTTCTCCCTCTGTATACTGTACCATGTCTCCATTTCCTCCTCTTCTCCCTTTTCTGTTTTCTCACTCTTTTACTTTGTGACCCAGTTTACTGAGGCTTGGCTGTAGGAAAAACTTGCATAGTAGACTTGTAGCTACTTTTCCTGTTGCCTGGAACAAATCAGGGATTTTTGAGGGTGGTGGGAAGGGGTGGGGGAAAAATAGGGAAGGATGAGTTGCAGTGGGAGTGATGTAATTGGGTGTTGAGATCATTCTGATTTTTCTAAGTCCTGGAGATGTTCTCTTTCAGCTAGAGGTGGACTTAACTTCCCTGAAACCCATGGGTTGAGCTGGGGAGGGTACTCTTAGAAAGGAGAAGGAGCATTGGATGTGGGACAGGTAGTCCCCTTCACATGACATTAGAAACATGTATAATGTAAACTTAGACTTCTCAAACATTTTTGTTTTCTTCATCAAGGTATTCACTTCTCCCCAGGCATATCCTGCCTTCTCATTTCTCTGTGCTTATGGGCAAACTGTTACCTCTGCCTGAAAAGCTTTTCCTTTGTGTTCCCTCTGGGAAAAATTCTAAGAATTTTTCTAGGCCTAGCTCAGATACACCTTTCTCAGTAAAGACCTTTTCTTTTCTAGCATTCACTGCATTAGCTTCACATGCATGGATAGCACAATATGTTGTATTACTATGAATTGTCTGTAGGTTTTCTCATATGCTAAAGATTATGAACTTTTAAAGGATGGAAACTGTGTGTCATTTTGCTCTATATTTTAGCACAGGACCTGTTATTAGAGGGAAAAAATGTTTTTTATTTTATTTCATTTAAACAACCTGTTTGGCATCTGTTTAGGTGGGGCATAGCTTAGATTCAGAGTTGGTTTGGGGGAATTCTCTGATGAGACATTAGAATGGATCATCAACTTCCAGTCCTCAAAGTCTTTCACTTTTCATCCTCCTGTACTCACCTCATTGCCAAAGGTTCTGGAGCTAGAACCCTGGCTGTCCCCTCCTCACCTGGCCACTAGGGGCCCAGTATTTCCTCTCTGGTGAATGTGGGTGAAAACATCTGCTTTGTCCTGTTATCATTCCAGAGGACACTTGAAGGTGTGAGGGCCATTTTATTACAACAGTTATTAATTAAAAAGAAGTGTCAGAAAAAAAAGTTACAGAATAAGTCTGCGTCTATCTGCATGCTAGACTGCATGTCATCACAGGCTAGCTCCGCTTTTAGCAGTGTAATTAAGGAAGGAAAAATGCTGAATTTGGAGAAAGAAGCCCAGTTCAGAATCTGATTCTGACTGTGTGTTCTTAGGAGGCTTGGGGTTATTTAAGTGCCTGCATATGATGGCAGCTGAATGTATGAGATGTCATTGCTTCTAGACCCACTCAACCTCTGAAGTTAGGAAATAGACACACACACACACACACACATTTTTACATACACACACCTATGTCTATTTATCTGTCTCTATTAGAAATCATGAGTTTACACTGATTTTTCCAATTACTATCTAATATTACATGGTTGATTCTAGCCTTTCCCCTTTTCATGTCTGTACCTTTCCTCCCCTCTTTGATAGTGATGAATCTGGCTCCTTTATCCTGAATATATTTACTTGATTGTTCAATCTCCTGGTGTGTTACCAGGCTCCCTACAATGCCAGCCATCTTCTTGGCCAGTGCTGCTGACTCAGGCCTGCCTGCACTGGCTGAGTGTCTCCCACGCCCAGGTGGTGCTGACTGAGTGTCCCCTCTCTGCCCAGTTCTTTCTGTTATAAATGTAATTCAGAAGAAAATTTTTTCTTTTGTAGGTCTAGAGAATTCTAAAGCAATGTGTGTTCTTGCTGGCTCAGACCACTCAGCTTCATTAACAGGTAGGTACCAGCTCTTTCACGGTTTAACATGCCATCCAGGATTCTCTGTGTGACTGCCTGAAGTGGTGATATTGAAACGCAGAGGGAATGTCATTGACTTTGGAGCTAGAATTCTGATGCTACCACTGGTATGCTCTTAGGCAAATTACTTTTCCTTTCTGAGACCATCTTCTTGTCTATAAGTGACTTTGTGGGTAGTTATGAGAATTAAATATAATACATATAAATCATGAATAGCAAACATAGGCTTGCTTCCATTTCGTCTGAGTTTGCTTCCTTAACTACACAATAAAGATAATAATGTCTTCCTCTCAGGGTAATGGTGGTTGTCAAATCATATAATCAACAGTAAATTTATATATAGCATATATGGATAATACAGTGTATTATGTAATTATTAATTCTTTGTAGTTTTCTCATATACCTACGATTAGGAGGGCAGAAGCTGCTGTCTTATCCATCTAATCTGTTTTGGTGTGTATTACAACAGTCTAAGCTCTCTACCTGTGTATACTAAAGTAATCTGTTTTATCCATCTGTATCTTTCTAATCCATTTATCCATCTGTATCTTTCTAATCCATTTATCAATCTCCATTTGTCTATCTATCCATGTATCTTTCTAATCTATTTATCAATCTCCATTTGTCTATCTACTCTGTTTATCTGTTTTATTTATCTTTAATCTTTGTATCTTAATATCTAATCTATGTATCTATCTATATATCTAACTCTAGATATATAGTTTTGTGAATATTTTATATTGTTATATATTTCTCTAATTTATCTACTTCATCTCTTTGATCTATCTGTTTTTCTATCTTAACTGTTTTTTTATTCTACACTATATCTCTCTCTTTGGCTGCGCATTCATCCTTCCATTTGAAACACCGAGCCAATACAGTATAAACTGTCTAGTGACTTTTCCTTCCAAGGCAATGCAGCATTTTCTTGAAAGTGACAGTAATCCCTTCTCTTTGGCCCACATTGCCCTGACCCCTGCTGGTAGACTGGAGACTATACATCTGAGAGATTTATAATATTTTGTTTGGTAAGACCTCTCACAGAGTTGAATGTATTCTATTTTTTAAGCAAAGAGGAGGGACTTCCATACTTAGTGTTTTATGTAGAAATTCAGGTGTGTCCATAATATATGTAAATTAATGGTGGTATGCATTCTTCGACATCAAATTTGCAATGCAGCCCAGCTGAGAAGTTATTTCAAGAGCACAGGAGCCCTAATATGAGAGTTTAAATGCTTTGCAAATTCTGAGCTGCAGATAATTTGTTATTTAATGAATTTAAAACAAACATCTAATAAGAAAGCACCTGCTTTTAACTTACATCTCACATCAGGTAGATTTATATATTAATATTTGTTAAAAGTGTTGAGTTGAAATGAATGCCACCTATAAGGGACTCCACTGGGTATCTAGTTCCTCCCTTCCTTTTACAGAGGAAGGACTGGAGACCCTAGGGTGAGAAGGGATGTGTTCGTGCCCCACAGTCAATGAGGTATGGAGAAGGCATTCTTTTCTGAGAATAAAAGTAGACTATGAGGTGTTTCTGTTTTGTTCTGATTAATCTGAAATGACTGATGTTATGTAAACCTAGAGCTTGTCTAATTGTTTGTCAACATCAACTTCTTAAAAATTCTTGTTGGTAGTAAATTTAGTATTTCATATGTAGGGCACATTTATTATGGTGTTATTTATATAGAAATGTTGAATATTTTTATTAAGATGTAATTTATATATAATAAATTAAATTTCTTTTAAAGTATACGATTAAAGAATTTACATTTCATTTAAAGTATACAATTTAGTAATTTTTAGTGTATTCACAAAGTGAAATGATTTTTGATATTTTGAAAATGAGCTAAAGATTGTGGAGATTAATAGCCCTGCTGGGCACTGTGGTTTACACCTGTAATCCCAGCACTTTGGAGGCTGAGGCAGGTGGAATACTTGAGGTCAGGAGTTCAAGACCAGCCTGGCCAACATGGTGAAACCCCATCTCTACTAAAAAATTCAAAATTAGCTGGGCATGGTGGCATGTGCCTGTAATCCCAGCTACTTGGGAGGCTGAGGCAGGAGAATCGCGTGAACCCGGGTGACAGAGGTTGCAGTGAGCCAAGATCGCACCACTGTACTCCAGCCTGGGTGACAGAGCAAGACTCCGTGTCAAAAATTAAAAAAAAAAAAGATTAATAGCCCTCTCTTTCTTCATGTGGTTCAAGCTGTTACACATTGGATTTTGTTCAATGCTTTTTAGACATTTTCTCTGGAGGGGTTGTAGATTATATAACTATTTGGCATTGCAGCATAATTTAATTTTACCTGCCGAGGCAACAGCATAATGATCCTCATCTGGAAGACAGTTTGACTTTCAAAAAGATGGTTTAGAGCTACTAAGATAAGTGAAGTTGTTGACACAGGCTTCATCATCAGTGTCTTCTTTGTAGCTCACCAGTCCACTTAATGGACTGATACTTTGCCGAGGGGGCTTCTTTGCTATCTTGTAAGAGGTCTTCATACTTTGCATACCCTGATGAAGTCCAGGAGGTTGACCTCTCTCTGGGAATGTAATACACCAGATTCACTTCACAGAACTGCAGAGTGTCAATGTTGCAGGGTCACCTGAGTGACAAAAAGGTTTCAATGATTTACACTCCCTCATCTTAGAGTTGAGGAAACAGACCTAGAATGTGAAGTGATGTGCCCAGTGTCAAACAGTGATCGGGTAGCAGATGGAACTTGAACTGGAGACTTCTGAACCTTAGTCTAATGCCCTTTAATGATACTGTTTGACTTTCCATCAGTGTTTTGGACTATACTAGACTGCCGTAGGGCAAGCAATACTATAAAGTTTTATTGGGAAGCTACAAAATGCAGTGAAAGCAGAAGACCTGACTTCTAGTCCCTATTTGACTCCTTATTAGCCATGTGATCCCTGAAAAGTAATTTAATATCTTCCAGCCTTGATTAATTTATATTCTAGAACAGTGTTAATAGAAATATAATATGAGCCACAATTTCAAAAAAATAAAAAGAAACAGGTGGGATTAATTTTAATAATATATCTACTTAACCCAGTATATCCAAAATATTATTTCAACATGTAACCCATATGAAATTATAATGAGCCCCACTCTGTTTGCACTAAGTCTTTGCAGTCCATTGTGTGAGAGAGTAGCATTTCACTTATAATGTATCTCAGTTTGGACTAGCAACATCTAAAGTGTTTGATAGCCATATGTAGGTGGTGAACTACTGTACTGGATAGTACAGTTGTAGATCCTTGGATTATAAGGGTTGGAAAAGCTGAGGAGTCACAAACTGACAAGCCGTAGGCTAAATTATAGCCCATGGCCTCATTTTGTATGGCTTTCATTTACAAAATATTTTTGAATGTGAATGCCTTTTAGACAGGCACGTACTCCCTGGCTTGCCACAGTCACCCACCAGTCATTCTTGTTACTAGTGTCATCGGTCATATTGTCTGCCCTTCTACACCAACAGCCTTCCCTTCCAATTTTCAGCTGGTGAAACTAAGTCTTAGAGAGGAAGTGATTTGTCCAAGGTCAGTAGCTAGTTAGCAGATCCAGGAATAGAAACTAGAGTCACTTGACTCTGAATTTGCTCTCTTTCTGTTAAATCACAATGTCAGTCAGTCACTTTCCTGCTTGTATCACAGGATGATTGTGAGGTTAAAACAAGCTGAAGTGCTATCCAAATGCAATTCTATAGCATTATATTTTCTGCTGGACAGGGCATGCGGTGAAATCATCTTATGTTTAAAAAATTTAAGCTTAAACAATGTATCTTTTAACCTGTTATTTTGAAAGTTAAAGCATTTTTTTCATACAAAAGGTAGTATAGGCATATATTTTAAAAACGTAGAAAATAGAGAAGCATGTCTCATGCACGTGGTAGATGTTGAATAAATATTTGTTGAATGAAAAAATGAAGAGAAAGCCACACTTTTTTTTTTTTCTTAAACTACTAAGAACATTTGGCCTTGTTTTTTATGTGTAGGATTTTTAAAAATTTTGTAATATGTTATTATGCTGTACACAAATTTTGTATCCTGCTTGGCTCCACTCAACATTGTAATGTAAGTATAAAACGACTTCTTTTAACTACGTATTGTTTAGACTTCTGTTATTTTCCATCATTTTGGACTACTGTTCCCTCACCTCTTTTGTTCCCTTTCTGTTTGTTTAAGATGCAGGAGAGGTGTATGTTTGGGGAAGCAACAAGCATGGGCAACTGGCTACTGAGGCTGCTTTCCTTCCTGCGCCCCAGAAAATAGAAGCACATTGTTTCCAGAATGAAAAGGTCACTGCCGTCTGGAGTGGGTGGACGCACCTGGTTGCTCAGACAGGTGAGACTGTAGCAGAGAACTTACAGTTGGTGAGAGCAGCTGGGGGACAGCTGTCTAAGCAGCTATGAGTGCTTGGGGTTAAGGCTTTTTATTGATGAAAGCTTAAGGATCAGAGACGGGGATACTGGGGTCTAGTTCTGCCATCAGCCAGATATGTGGCTTTTCCTCTCAGGGTCACAGGTTTGTACCCAAAAAGACAAGCCTGGGTTAAGTTAACTCCTTCCGGTCCTAAGAGCCCATGAGGTTTTGAGAAGGGATCCATTGCAGCAAGCATCACCCAGAAATTTGCCCAGCTTGTTGGGAAGTCCCTACTTTGTCATAGCTATTTGCATTTCTAAGTCTAAATTAAAAGCATCGGAAAATGTTAAGTGAAAGATAAATATCTCAAGATTCAGGTAGGAGCACTATTTTGATTCATAGCTGGCATGGTATTCTGATTTAAACTTTTGTGTTGACCATAATAAACTATGTGTATTGGTTCAGACATCTCATATATTCCCTCAGATGTTCTCACATCGTGCCATACAGCTTTTGGCATCTTCATCTTTTCCTGAATCTTCATTTGTTTCTCATCTTTCCCTTGGGGCGGTTCTGCTTTCCTGGCCTTCATATTCTTGCCCCTGCCTGTTGATTTTCACAGAGTTCCCCAGCCAATTTGCAGTTCCCAAGGTCTGTTATCATGTCAAAGTATTCTGAGCTTCAGGGGTTCTCAGGAGTCCCCTTGCCTACTCCTGTCCTGCTTGCTAGCTACACACACATCTCTAGACTCCCAAATACCTAGTGATTCTTATTTTCAGGAGTTTCTGGCTTTTGCAGGTTTTCAGGTCAGCTTCAGCTATCCTTGGTAAGTCACACATACTACACATTTTTGTACACAAATGTAGACTTATGAGCAGTCATATCTATGATGCTTTTAATTGGTCTTTTAAAGCATTTCATGATCATTTTGAAACAGTGGCCTGAATAACAAAGATGTATAATGACTTTCCATATTACTGCTTTAGAGGATGCTCTAAGGAAAGTGTGTCATTCATTAGGAGGACGGTCATCACTTTCCTCAAAGAGATTCAGATTGCTTGAAGATTGGGCTTATCTACAGAAGCTTTTCCTAAAGAGACTCACTGAGCATGGTAGCTGGGTTTTGTGTGTGTGTAATTGTTGGTATCTCTCTTTTGTTTCAGATAATAAGCTCTGTGAAGGAAGCCACCAGATTAGTCTTGCTCACTTCTGTGTCTCCACTGCCTATCAGAGAATGTACTCATTTTCCTGCATCAAACTCTTTATAGTTAAGAGAGACTTCACATACACAAATGCATACAAGTCAGGGTAGATAGCTAGGATTTCTGACCTCTTTCCTGGGACTTAGATGTTCGTGAACAGAAAGCTTGTTTGTCTTTTTGGATTCTGGTGTCCAACCAAGTAGGTTAATGTTTATTAGGCACCTATTGAGCAATGTGTTAAGCCTCGGGGAAATGGAGGAGAAAAGATATAGGCCATATCTTCCCACTAGAATGTATGTAGATAGGCATAAGTCTGAGAATATAGAGATGGAAAACTTTATCATCCATCCATCATACAAATGGTGAGGGTCTTTTTATGTACTGTGCCTTGTACTAGATGTAAATCTTGCCGTTAACGAGTCCACTGTCCATTAGGGGTGATAGACCTATGATGAAAATTTTACTACGTTCCAGTATGAGATGTGCAACAGTAGAGCTAAGTACAAAGTGCAAAGGTCGCTTAGAAATTAGCAGTCGTCTTGAGTGATTGGGTGTTCATAGGTAGGCATTTCATGGTTAGTCAGTCTTCCAAGAATTGCAGTACATTAAAATACACTTACTACCAAATGGTGGTGAATTTGGTTGAGTCTGTCAGTAAACCCTTTAACTAGTTAGGTAGTTGACTAATGAAAGACATAAAGATGTTGCTTCTTTGATTTTAGCTTTGAAGCATTATAACTGAGGCGATTCCCACATCTGGGCCAGCAGCCCAGCCCTTGGGGTGGCAGGTTGGAACCCATGTCTCTGACACTGAGTCACCCCAGCTCCTCTGGAGCTCAGCTTCAGGTTCCTGCCTCCTTTCAAGAGCATGAGTTTTTGGTAACGTTTCAGCTATTTAATTAGCTTGTTAATTCGGATTGCTTGTTTTTGTACATTGCCACTTTCTCCTTTATCCTAAGTCCAGAATGGTTAAACCTGGGAGGTTTGAATGTCCTGGTTTTTGTACTGAATTTTGGGTAAATGGGAGTTTCCTCTCATTTGATTCACCAATTTTGTGTTCCTTCTACAGCAGTGGAGGCCTGTGCTCTGGCCCAGAGTCACTGAGAAGAAACACCCAGGGCTTCTATTTAATCAGACTCAGCGCTCACATTAATGGGAATAAGATTTCCTCACAGGGTCAGGAGCAGCTCATTAGTGGAACAAGGAGTTATTTGACTCTAGTTGTTTTCACAAGCTCCAGTGGTGAATTGTTCCTGGAACGAACTTGCAGGCCACATCAGCACAGAGGCTGCTCTCAGTCTCATTCTGGGAGGCATTAGTTGTGTGATATTGATTAAAAAAGAGTTTATGCACAGACACTATTGGCGTCTAATGGGTAGAGGCCAGGGATGCTGCTAAACATCCTATAATGCAAGGACAGCCCCCTATAACAAAGAATTATCTAGCCCCAAATGTTAATAGTGTCAAGATTGAGAAACACTGCTCAATACTGGACATCCCCAGTGGTAGGTGCTTAGCTAGGGCAGTTCACACGGTATCAGAATAACTTTATAGATTGTCTGTATGGGAATCTGTGATGTGTTCTCTGCCCTCCCCTCTCAGGAGTCTGTCTGATGTCTGCCTGCAGTGTTGGTGATGGAAAAATACTTTTCGGTTAGTCAGAGGCACTTGGAAAGAGTCCAAGAGAACCTGTTCTAATCTGGGAGAGTTGGCAAGGGTACCTGTGTCTCAGGCTCGTGGTGCTGCATTCTAGAAACCTTTCCCAAGCTGCTTAATGTTGCTGATCATTGTTCTCAGGAACTTCATGGGACTCCTGGGTGACTTTATCCAGGCTCAGTGACCTGCAGGTGTCTCATCTGAGATTCATGGTTTCCTGGCTGGAGGTGCTTCTAGTGAGGGTTGGATGGCAGATCTGGGTGCCTTCCTAGTTTGTTGACCTTGATTAAGTCACTTTACCTGTCTAGGCCTCAGTTTCCTCAACTCTGAAGTTTGATATTAAAACCTGCCTGCATTCTACATAGGGCTGCTGTGATGTTCAAATGAACGAGTCTGTGAAAGATCCCAACTATTGTAAAATGCATACATAAGTGATGGCTGCCTGGGATATGTAAGTAAATTAAAGACTTAGTAGTGGCTTTTAGAAAGACTTCTATTTCCACAGGGTTAATGTGACCTTGAGACTACTAGCCTGAAACTCATGAGCTGGCCAGGGATGCCATACTCTTTCTCACACCTCCGTGTGAAGAGACCACCAAACAGGCTTTGTGTGAGCAACAAGGCTGTTTATTTCACCTGGATGCAGGTGGGCTGAGTCCGAAAAGAGTCAGTGAAGGGAGATAGGGGTGGGGCCATTTTATAGGATTTGGGTAGGTAGTGGAAAATTAGTCAAAGGGGGTTATTCTTTGGCAGGCAGGGGTGGAGGTCACAAGGAGCTCAGCGGGGGAGCTTTTGTGGCAGGATGAGCCAGGAGAAGGAATTTCACCAGGTAATATCATCAGTTAAGGCAGGAACAGGCCATTTTCACTTCTTTTGTGATTCTTCAGTTACTTCAGGCCATCTGGATGTATATGTGCAGGTAACGGGATATGATGGCTTGCTGGGGCTCAGAGGCCTGAGATACTCAATATCAAACTCTGGCAGCAAAGTTTCCTAAAGTCTTTTACTTGCATGCAGTAGGCAAGTGGCTCTTTCATATTATCAACAACCTGGAAGATTTTTGTGGCCTAATTTGTAATATTACCTATTAAAATTCATGGTACTCATCCCAATTTGTAATTGTATACATCTCTTTGTATTCTTATTTGTTTAATGTCTAGACTGTAAATTACACGAGAGCAGTGTCTGTTTTGTTCATGGCCATATCCCCAGCATCTGGCACAGGCCTGATACATAACAGATGGTCAGTAACTAAGTGCTGAATGAATAAATAAATGGCAAGGTAGAGAGAAACCTGGGCTTTGAAGTCAGCTAGATGAAGGCTTGAAACTTAGCTCTCTTAACCTACTGATTGTGTGACTGTGGGCAGCTCCACCTCTCTCTGTCTCCATTGTCACCACCCTGGTTCAGCCCACTGTTACCTCTTAACTGAATCCAGTAGTAGCCTTTAACTGGTGTCCTGGTCTTCCCATATTTACTCCTTGATATAGTTTGGATGTGTGTCCCCACTCAAATCTCATGTTGAAATGTAATCCCTAGTGTTGGAGGTGGGGCCTGATGGGAGGTGATTGGGTCATGGGGGCACATTTCTCAAGAATGGTTTAGTACCATTCTTCTTGGTACTGTTCTTGCCATTGTGAGTGAGTTCTCATGAGATCTGGTTGTTTAAAAGTGTGTACCATTTCCCCCCTTGCTGTCTTGCTCGTGCTCTTGTCAGATGACGTCCAAGCTCCCGCTTCCTCTTCCGCCATGATTGTACACTTCCAGAGGCCTCCCCAGAAGCTGATGCTCGAGCTTTGCTTCCTGTATAGCCGCAGAACTGTAAGACAATTAAACCTCTTCTCTTTATCAATTACCCAGTCTTAAGTATTCTTTATAGGAATGTGAGAATGGACTAATACCCTCCCTCTCCCCTCCAACCCATTCTTCATACCCCAGTTGAAAGATCTTTTCAAACCCATTGCGTCACATTCAGATGCCTTCCCATTGCTCCTAAGATAAAAGTATAATCCTTAGTGGCCCTACAGGTCCTGTGATCTGCTCTCTGCTGACCTTTCCAGTCCCATTTCTCACCATGCTAGTTCTTGATCCCTATTCAATCTGCACTCTGGCCTTTGCTTGGTTCCTTGAAAGCATCATTCATTTCCCACCATAGTGCCTTTGCACCTGATATTCCCTCTATTTGGCCACTTATCTGTGCACCTCTTCTTCAGTTTGACTGAGCTAAATCCTTTTTTTTTTAAATCTTAATCCTTAACTTAGGTATCTGGGAGAACTTCTCTTGACATTGCTGACTAAGTCACCTCTCCTTTTTTTCCTGTTCTCATAGCACCATAAACCTCTCTTTCGTGCTATTTTTTGGTAGCATTCTTTGACTAATTTCCTTTCCCACTAGACTGTAAGCTCCGTGAGGGCAGAAGCCATGCTTGCTTTTGCCTACTTAAGACATGTTAGACAAATGAAAAAACCCGATTTCTTTGAAGTTACTTCTTTATTAGGAAAATGGGGAAATAACTGCTGACCTGATATGAGGATTGAAAGAGATGATGTATTAAAGCATCCAGCACAGGACTGGCTCATATGTCTTTTTAAGACACATTAGCTCCCACTACCCTTTTGGAAACTCATGAGCTCTCTGGAGATCACATGCTCCATTTCTTCTCTTTATGTCAGAGGTCTCTGCGGGGCTGGATGTGAATGTCTCTGGATAGGTAACAAGTTGATCAGAACTCTCCTGAAGAGTACAGAAAGATCAGTGCTTACAAATGCTAAGTGCTGGTTGCTGGCGGTGTATTAGAATTTCAAGGGGAATGATTTATACACGATCTAAACCTTAATGTGGAGTTGGTCAGAATGTCTAGAATCCAGTTGCTTTTGGGATGCTGGAAGCTTTCCCTGGATCCTGCAGTATCCCAAAGTAGCCTTGTGGTCTTACAAGGGATATGGATTGAAAAAGTGAGAACAAATACAGAGAGTTCTTTGACATTCTTTACTTTCTTCAGTGTCACCTTAAAAAGCCCATGAGTCTAAGAAGTTTTAGAGAATCAATGATGAAAGAAGCAACTTCCTCACTTTGCAAATGAAAAAAACTGGAACCAAGAGGAGAGAAAGTGACTTTATGGCAACTTTAAGCTAGAAATCCAGTTCTACTTTCCAGTGAAATTTTCCCCCTTCCATCACTGTCCTCTTGATTCGTGGTTATATCCTTTTGATTGAGATTTTTTTATTCTTTTGTTTTCCTAAAGAGGGGAATTGTATGGTACGTATGAAAGGGACTAGCTGTTAGCTACTCTTTCAAGTGTCACAGCCCAAGAAATATTTTATTGCATTTGATGTCTAAGCATTAGTGAAATTCAAGCCCGGCCATTGATTCACACTAAACTGAGTTTATAAATATACCTAATGCTGATTTTTCTGTTTTGGGGCCAAGATCCTTTTCAGAATAGGGTGACAGTATACATTACTCCATCTTCTTTGGGACCATATATCATGAAACTTCAACCAAGCTCAGGGAGATTCTGACCTCATGGGCTCTATTTAAAGCAGGTGCTTTGGAATTAATGATGCTTGTTCTTTAGAACTTTGAAAACCCAATGGGTGAAAGTCAAGCTGAGCCCAAAGGCTTATTTTGAAATGGATACTTTTTGATTCTTATTAAAGTCATGAGTTTTTATCCTAGAATACTTAGAATGTCAGTAATGGATAGAAACTCACAGATCATCTGGCCTTAATTCCTCAGTTTAGAGATGTGAAAACTGAGGACTAAATAGGGGAGGCACAGTGAGTGAGTCACAGAACTAGGACCAGAACTCAATCAAGTCTCATGACTCTCAGTACAGTGTTCTTTCTGCCTTGTTGCATTCTTTCCAGAGATGATGAGGAAGTGTGGACCACTTAACTAGTCAAATCCAGGGACCTGAACCAGGAAGATAGTTCCTTCTGTGTAAGATGTTCTGCTTTGGCCAGGCATGGTGTCTCACATCTGTAATTCCAACACTTTGGGAGGCTGAGGCAGGTGGATTTCTTGAGCCCAGGAGTTTGAGATCAGCTTGGGCAATATGGCAAAACTCCATCTCTACAAAAAAATATATAAAAATATTATCTAGGTGTGGTGGTGCGTGCCTGTGGTCCCAGCTACTTGGGAGGCTGGGGCAGGAGTATGGCTTGAGGCCAGGAGGTGGAGGTTGCAGTAAGCCAAGATTGCACCACTGCAGTCCAGCCTGGGTTGACAGAGTGAGACCCTGTCTCACAGAGAAAAAAAAGTTCTGCTTCAAGAAAACACTTATTCTTACCTGAAGAGTGCAGCCATAGATTCCTTTAAGGATATACGTGTGGAGTAGAAACTGGGAGATGGTGCCTGAGAAGCAAGGGTCAGGAGGCCATTCTGGGATTCACAGAAGCAGCTGCATGAGAATGCAGCAGCAATCATAACTCTCACGGACCACCTTTATCACTATCAAGTACTTTCACATCCGTGTTCTCATATGAAGTTGGCAAGATGAGTAGTAGTATCCTTACTTCACAGAAGAGTCCCTAATTGGTTAATGGCATTGCTCTGTTTCACGTAGATGGACAGAGCTAAAACTTGAATCCCATCTTTTGTCCCCAAGCCTGCTATTCTAATTCCAGATCTTGTGTTTCTCAGAGAGCTCTAACTCATCAGCGAAACTTCTTTTACTGTTCAAAGAAGCATCTTTCTCCAACTATTGCCAGTGATACTGTATTTCAGCAAGCAATTGGAAGGAAATTCGTAGGTATCTTTAGTCCGTTAGCAGATATTTGTGAAATGCTTCTCTATATGTATATAGCACTATGCTACAGAATACAGGGGAATTTAAAATCCAGAACCACCTTTAGGAAGTTTTTGGTTGGATGAACAATTAAATATTTAGTAGAAGAATAAAAAGAATGTAGCCAAGGGCCAAAGGAGTGGCCCAGACACTGCAGGCTCTAGGATTTCAAGGGAAGGAGAGGTCAGTGTGGGTGAGGTTGGTCAGGGAAGGGTGTGAAATTGTGGTTGGGCTTTGGGAAGGTCACATTTTAATAGACGGAGAGTTTGACTTGGTTCTCTTGCTTTCTCTTTGTCCTCTGGCAAGACACTAAACTCTCTGGCCCCCTCTCTTCCATCTGGCCAGTACGTTGACATAATGATCTTTAAGGGTCATTCCAGCTCTGAAATTCTATCCTATAAAAAATAAATCTGGCCTAAAGAAATGGTCATGGATGCATTCAAAGATTAAGTATAATGCCATTTACTGCAGCCTAATTTTTAATGACAAAAACAGAGGTATGGAAACAAATGAAATTGAAGAGACATTGGTTAAACAAATGATGGCAGAGCCATATGTTGGAATATTATATTGTCATTAAATAGAATGTTTTAGAAGGATATTTAATGACAGGAATACGCTCATGGTATAGTAAGTGAAAAGAATGATTAACTATACTGTAACTTCTAATTTGTTGAAAGAAAAGAAGAATGCATAGAAAAGACTAGAAGGAAATGGGCCAGGTGGGATTATGAGTGAATTTTGTTTTCTATGCTGAATTTTGAATATTTTCAATTTGATTATATCTCCTATAAATACTATTTTAAAGTTAATGAATAAAATCACTTACCCCTCAGTGCAAGCAACTGGCTCCTTTGCCATCTATTCCCATGTATATGTCCTTGACAAATCACTTGCACGGGCCTCAGTTGGGAGGTTGCGTGGAAGAGAGGCAAGATACTTTAGCAGGAGGCAGGCGAGTGACCATCTATTTTTGGCTCAGTCATGAGTCAGCTTTGTGACTTTGGGTAAGTCCCTCCTGAACATCCCTGAGCCTCAATTTCTTCATCCGAAGAGGGGAATTAGAGGTCACAAAAGATCCTTCAAGTTGCAAAATATATTTATTCCTAAAGATGGATAATTTCTCCACTATTATGGAGCTGGCTAAGAGGCCTCTTTGGCTTCTTGAGCCTGGCCTCTTTCTTTTCTCTTCCGCTCCCCTGCGCTTGGGCTCTGCTGGCTGCAGGCTGATTTCTGTTATTCAGAGTTCAGGGTGAATTGGAGTAAAAGTTGAGTGACAGGGGCTCTGCGCAGGCAGGGTGTAGTGACAGCACTGAACCACTAGAGGGAAGCATTGTTTGATTACTTTCCCCTTTCCCATTTTTAGCTGCTGTGTCTGCAGGTGAAGATTAGCCTTGATTTGCCTGGGGGTTTCAAATTCTAGCATTTTAGAATTAAAAGGACTTTAAAGATCATCCAATAAAACCCCAGTATGCTGCAGATGTGAGATGATAGAGGCCTGAAAAAGCAAGCGACCTAGTTAAAGTCACACAATGTGTTTTTTCAGGGTCTACACTATAAAGGAAGGCTGCAGACAGAGCCAAGGGTATAATCAGTTGAGTCCACAAAGAATAGACAGGTCCCATGTTGTGCAGAAACCTAAAGGATCTACTTGTATACTTGGATTCACTGAGCTCCTCTAGCCAGGTGTTAAGAGGCCTGGAGATAGAGAAGAAAAGATATAACCCTGTCCTGAGGAGCTGCTGTCTGGCAGGGGAAGCATGCACAAACACACGATGCTACCCCAGGTGTCTTCCCTACTGTTTGGTGGTCTGCCTAGTCTAGGATCCAGGGTGTGGTGGTGGCTTGGAAGCTGGTTTGTGGAAGACCTTGCAGGTGTTCTTATGAATGATCACCTCCAAGATTAGGGAGATACATGGGTACCCTAAGTTTGTATTTCCAGTTAACTTCTACAAGCAGTGCTTAGCCCGTTCATGTGCCATGCCTTACCTTTTCTTGAGGTTTGCGAGGAGTCCTGGCAGTTTTTTCTCCACCTTCGTCCAGCCTTGTTCCTTGGCTCTAGGCTGACTTTATTTTTGGTTTGCAGGTACCCACCAGCCCTAAGCATTGTGGTAAAGTGAAATCGTATACTGGCCTGGGAGCCAGGCAGCTCTGTGACCTTGCGCAGGTTACCTTCTGTCTTTGAGAAGGGAGTTCATGCTCTCAGCTGCAGCTGTGTCATCTCTGATAGAGAGATGAAGTTTTGTCATTGTATTTGGATTTTGTGTTTGGCAGTGAATACCCATTGATCTGTGGTCTAGAGAAGTGTAGCATGTGTGTACCTGAAGCAGAAGCAAGAGCCACCCTCTGAAGTGGGTATATTTGAGAAGGGGCCGGGCCTGCAGGGCCACCAGATGGCAGCAGCAGGCAGCCAGATAGCCTTGGGATGAGGCTGGTAGGGTCATTCCGGAATTAGCAAGGTCAGAGCTGAAAGGGCCCCTAGAGGTCATCCACGCTCTCCCCCCTTTTTGTATGGATGGGAGAACCTAGGCCCAGAAAGGGAAAGGAGCTTGCATGAGGACACACCCTGAGTTAATAGCTGATAGTCCTTTCTCTTAAGAGGAACTGAGACTGGTCTGACCTCTAGCTGGCTGCCCCATGGAGATCCAGGGGACAAGGGCCAGTGAGCCAGCTGTGGAAGAGGACCTGGCAGTGGCAGTTAACTGTTTGCCTTTTTCCTGATTTCTTCAAGGGCCTTGTCTTAATGATTTTCACCTTCTCACTCACAGCAAAAGCAATGTGCATGTCTTTTCTGCTCGCCTCTGGCCTTTCCAGTTCTCCTCCTCAGTTCTCTGGGCCAAGGCTTCCCATCACACTGTGCAATGGATAGAATTAGGGGTCATCTCTTAAGCCCTATACCCCAGAGATGGGCAGGCCCAGGGCCTTGCCAGAGGCATGCTGAAGACATGAGTTAGCACAATTGGTTGAATAAGAACAAATTTTTTTTTTTTTATTTCCAAGGGGATCAGGATAGGGCAGGGAGCCAGTGTTTGCCAAGTACTTACTATGTACTAGGTGCTCTGCCAGGTACTGCTCTGCAGCCTGAGGGTAATGCTCCTATAGCCCCTTAAGGTAGGGTTCATTTCCCTTCATTCTAGGTGAGAATTGAGGCTCAGAGAGGCTAAGTGGCTTGCATAAAGTACCATAGCTAGTTAGAAAGCAAAGCAGACTCTTGAATCCCACTGTGTTTGATATCAAAGCTTATTTTATTTCATCATGCCACTTCCTCTCAAGGTGACCTTACTGGAAATGTGGCAAGTGACTGTCTTATTCCATTCAGGCTGCTCTACCAAGTAATATAGACTGGGTGGCTTATAAACAATAGAAACCTATATCTTACAGTTCTGGAGGCTGGGAAGTCCTAATCAAAGTGCCAGAAGATTTGGTGTCTGGTGATGACCTGCCTCCTGGTTCACCTTCTTGCTATGCCTCACATGGCAGAAGAAGTGAAGGAGCTCTCTGGGGTTTCTTTTATAAGGCCACTGATCCCATTCATGAGGGCCCTACCTTCATGATCTCATCACATCCCACAGGCCTCGTCTCCGTAATGTTAAGGGTTAGGATTTCAACATGTGAATTTAATGGGGACACAAACATTCAGTCTGTAGCAGCCCTTTAGGCTTTAGGGAGGGGGCAACAGGTATTTTATCTCTCCTTCCTGGAGAAAGCTTCTGGGGGAGTTGTGGTGGTGAACTGCAAGAGGGAGGAGGCCTTTGAAGTAGGAAAGGGCAGGTCTTTATGGAGCAGGTTAGGGAGTGGTGGCTAGTGTTACAAAACCCACTGAGAAATGGTTAAATACCTTTCCCCTCTGTTCCTGTGTTCTAGCAGTTCCTTATTCCAGGAATGCTTGTCTCTGTGATTCCTGCATGAGCTACTGCCTCACTTCCATTGGTTCTTGTCCAAATGTCACCTCTTATACTCTATTCCCTTCACTGCGTTATTTTTCATCATAGCAGTTTTCACTGCCTGAAATCATAGTGTCATTTTTGTTTATTTGTTGTCATTCTCTCCTAACAGAATGTGAGCCCCACAAGGTTAGGGACTTGGTCTGCTTTATTTACCGCTAGATTTCTCCAAACATAGGGAAGAGACTCGAGTGCTGGTAGCATGGAATGGGTAGAACTCTTGGACGTGGAAGCTATGCTGTTTCCAATGGCTGTGTT